AAAATTTATAAAACTAAGGTTTAGTTCTTCATCGTCTATTCTGGTATTTTCTTTTTCTCAGGACTAGCATAGTGGTCTGATTTTCAGCTCGTCTAGGTGATTTTTTAAAAATTGACGACTTATGTCGTCTTTGAAGGAAACTATTATAATTATAAGCATCACCACTTTCAAAAGGGTCTAATTAACTGGTCTGTATTTCATCTCGACTAAAGAAAATTTTTTAAAATTTAGGTTCAGTTCTATATCGTCTATTCTCGTATTTTCTTTCTCTCAGGACTAGCATAGTGGTCTGATTTTCAGTTCGTCTAGTGGATATTTTCAAAATTGTCGACTTATATCGTTCCTGAGGGAGGGCTATTATAATTATAAGCATCACAATTTTCTAAAGGGACTAATTAACTGGTCTGTATTTCATCTCGACTAAAGAAAAATTTTTAAAACTAAGGTTCAGTTCTGTATCGTCTATTCTGGTATTTTCTTTCTCTAAGGACTTGCATCTTGGTCTGATTTTCAGCTCGTCTAGTGGATATTTTCAAAATTGACGACTTATATCGTTTCTGAGGGAGGGCTTTTATAATGACAAGCATCACCACTTTCTAAAGGGACTAATTAACTGGTCTGTATTGCATCTCGACTAAAGAAAAATTCTTAAAACTAAGGTTCAAATCTTTATCGTCTATTCTGGTATTTTCTTTTTCTCAGGACTAGCATAGTGGTCTGATTTTTAGCTCGTCTAGGTGATTTTTTAAAAATTGACGACTTATATTGTCTTTGAAGGAAACTATTATAATTATAAGCATCACCACTTTCAAAAGGGACTAATTAACTGGTCTGTATTGCATCTCGACTAAAGAAAAATTTTTAAAACTAAGGTTCAGTTCTGTATCGTCTATTCTGGTATTTTCTTTCTCTAAGGACTTGCATCTTGGTCTGATTTTCAGCTCGTCTAGTGGATATTTTCAAAATTGACGACTTATATCGTTTCTGAGGGAGGGCTTTTATAATGACAAGCATCACCACTTTCTAAAGGGACTAATTAACTGGTCTGTATTGCATCTCGACTAAAGAAAAATTCTTAAAACTAAGGTTCAAATCTTTATCGTCTATTCTGGTATTTTCTTTTTCTCAGGACTAGCATAGTGGTCTGATTTTTAGCTCGTCTAGGTGATTTTTTAAAAATTGACGACTTATATTGTCTTTGAAGGAAACTATTATAATTATAAGCATCACCACTTTCAAAAGGGACTAATTAACTGGTCTGTATTGCATCTCGACTAAAGAAAAATTTTTAAAACCAAGGTTCAGTTCTTTATCGTCTATTCTGGTATTTTCTTTTTCTCAGGACTAGCATAGTGGTCTGATTTTTAGCTCGTCTAGGTGATTTTTTAAAAATTGACGACTTATATCGTCTTTGAAGGAAACTATTATAATTATAAGCATCACCACTTTCAAAAGGGTCTAATTAACTGGTCTGTATTTCATCTCGACTAAAGAAAATTTTTTAAAATTTAGGTTCAGTTCTTCATCGTCTATTCTGGTATTTTCTTTCTCTCAGGACTAGCATGGTGGTCTGATTTTCAGCTCGTCTAGTGGATATTTTCAAAATTGACGACTTTTATCGTCTCTGAGGAAACTATTATAATGACAAGCATCACCACTTTCTAAAAGGACTAATTAACTGGTCTGTATTGCATCTCGACTAAAGAAAAATTTTTAAAACTAAGGTTCAAATCTTTATCGTCTATTCTGGTATTTTCTTTTTCTCAGGAATAGCATAGTGGTCTGATTTTTAGCTCGTCTAGGTGATTTTTTAAAAATTGACGACTTATATCGTCTTTGAAGGCAACTATTATAATTATAAGCATCACCACTTTCAAAAGGGTCTAAATAACTGGTCTGTATTTCATCTCGACTAAAGAAAAATTTGTAAAATTTAGGTTCAGTTCTTTATCGTCTATTCTGGTATTTTCTTTTTCTCAGGACTAGCATTGTGGTCTGATTTTCAGCTCGTCTAGTGGATTTTTTAAAAATTGACGACTTATATCGTCATTGAAGGAAACTATTATAATTATAAGCATCACCACTTTCAAAAGGGTCTAAATAACTGGTCTGTATTTCATCTCGACTTAAGAAAAATTTTTAAAACTAAGTTTCAGTTCTTTATCGTCTATTCTGGTATTTTCTTTTTCTCAGGACTAGCATAGTGGTCTGATTTTCTGCTCGTCTAGTGGATTTTTTAAAAATTGACGACTTTTTTCGTCTTTGAAGGAAACTATTATAATTATAAGCATCACCACTTTCAAAAGGGTCTAATTAACTGGTCTGTATTTCATCTCGACTAAAGAAAAATTTTTAAAACTAAGGTTCAGTTCTTTATCGTCTATTCTGGTATTTTCTTTTTCTCAGGACTAGCATAGTGGTCTGATTTTCAGCTCGTCTAGGTGATTTTTTAAAAATTGACGACTTATGTCGTCTTTGAAGGAAACTATTATAATTATAAGCATCACCACTTTCAAAAGGGTCTAATTAACTGGTCTGTATTTCATCTCGACTAAAGAAAATTTTTTAAAATTTAGGTTCAGTTCTATATCGTCTATTCTCGTATTTTCTTTCTCTCAGGACTAGCATAGTGGTCTGATTTTCAGCTCGTCTAGTGGATATTTTCAAAATTGACGACTTTTATCGTCTCTGAGGAAACTATTATAATGACAAGCATCACCACTTTCTAAAAGGACTAATTAACTGGTCTGTATTGCATCTCGACTAAAGAAAAATTTTTAAAACTAAGGTTCAAATCTTTATCGTCTATTCTGGTATTTTCTTTTTCTCAGGAATAGCATAGTGGTCTGATTTTTAGCTCGTCTAGGTGATTTTTTAAAAATTGACGACTTATATCGTCTTTGAAGGCAACTATTATAATTATAAGCATCACCACTTTCAAAAGGGTCTAATTAACTGGTCTGTATTTCATCTCGACTAAAGAAAAATTTATAAAACTAAGGTTTAGTTCTTTATCGTCTATTCTGGTATTTTCTTTTTCTCAGGACAAGCATAGTGGTCTGATTTTCAGCTCGTCTAAGTGATATTTTCAAAATTGACGACTTATATTGTCTTTGAGGGAAACCATTATAATTATAAGCATCACCACTTTCTAAAGGGACTAATTAACTGGTCTGTATTTCATCTCGACTAAAGAAAAATTTTTAAAACTTAGGTTCAGTTCTGTATCGTCTATTCTGGTATTTTCTTTTTCTCAGGACTAGCATAGTGGTCTGATTTTCAGCTCGTCTAAGGGATATTTTCAAAATTGACGACTTATTTAGTCTTTGAGGGAAACCATTATAATTATAAGCATCACCACTTTCAAAAGGGACTAATTAACTGGTCTGTATTTCATCTCGACTAAAGAAAAATTTTTAAAATTTAGGTTCAGTTCTGTATCGTCTATTCTCGTATTTTCTTTCTCTCAGGACTAGCATAGTGGTCTGATTTTCAGTTCGTCTAGTGGATATTTTCAAAATTGTCGACTTATATCGTTTCTGAGGGAGGGCTATTATAATTATAAGCATCACAATTTTCTAAAGGGACTAATTAACAGGTCTGTATTTCATCTCGACAAAAGAAAAATTTGTAAAATTTAGGTTCAGTTCTTCATCGTCTATTCTGGTATTTTCTTTCTCTGAGGACTAGCATCTTGGTCTGATTTTCAGCTCGTCTAGTGGATATTTTCAAAATTGACGACTTATATCGTCTCTAGGAAACTATTATAATGACAAGCATAACCACTTTCTAATGGGACTAATTAACTGGTCTGTATTGCAACTCGACTAAAAAATTTTAAAAACTAAGGTTCAGTTCTTCATCGTCTATTCTAGTATTTTCTTACTCTCAGGACTAGCATAGTGGTCTGATTTTCATGCATTTCAATGTTTTGATTCGAGCAGAAGATGAAAAGAAAATAATAATCATAATATTTCCATTAAATTTATATCTTTTGGTTGAGCAAAGGTGCAACAAACCACACACCTTTTCGTCCACAAACTTGTTGTTGGGAAATGTGCTCTGAGCGCTCCTCAGGACTTGCAAAGTTCCTGTTTCAAGTTTGTTTTTTTCACTTCTCACACCTGCGGAAAGCACAACCAGCGAATATAATTTCCATCCTCGAGGATGGAAATGACTTTATGTTATCCGAGGATCCTCAGATTCTTCAGTCTCCTCTCAATGCTGTATCCGCTAGGCTATATTTTCCATCCGGGTTGTAATCAGAATCTGAAGCATATTCGATAGTAAAATTTTTCTAATCCTCACGACGTATCCTCTTCGTCATCATCATCATTGTATTTAGGAGCAGAATAGATCCACCACCTTCGAAATAATCATCGTCGTCATCATCCCTTGCACCACCTTGTCTGCTAAACTTGTGCGACCGGGCTAGCAGAAAAAGAAAAATTATCGATTGGATTTTAAAAATTTATTTAATTTTCTAGTTTTTTTTTCACATTATTTTCGGTTCTAAATTATTTTACCTCTCTTTATTTACAGCTCGGCGTGAAATAGGTTTTTTTTGTTTTTAATCAACAAAAAATTGGTTTATTGAAATCTCATGCCTAAAAATAGTAAAAAAGAAAAGCGGACGAGGAACATTTGTTTATGATAATTACACGTTGATCCTTGTCTTAGACATTCCACATTCGGCCCATTCCGCAAGGCGCAACTGGCGCAAAGGTTTTTGTTTTTTTTTCGTTCAAGGAGAAAAGTGGGGTGGAGGGGAAGGGAAGGCGAAGGCGCCTTCAGAAATTCAGATTCTGTTTTTTTTTTAATAATCTAAAAAATCTTGGATCTGGATGAAGATTTAACCAATTTTCTTTAAAATTGATGCAATTCTCAATGAGAATTATTTATGACTTTTAGTTTTTACGCATGCAGTTTTTTTTAAATGTTTGGGAAAATACCTTGGAGAAATTAGTAAAACCTTTTGCCACCAGGCGATGTGCTGTCACTATCCACAAATCTCATTGGCTCCCGCGCTCCCGCCTTAACGACACAGCAAAAGACAAAAGATTCAAAAGCTCCTCGTCGTCGCCGACCTCCTTGCGGCTATGCGGTACGCGGCTTTGGTAGTAGTTGGACTCGAGACTGGACGTCTGGACGCTTCGTTTTTCGTGACTTTTTTGGGTTTGAAATCCGTCGACGACCTCGACGCCGACCTTCTTGACGCCCAGCGCCCACCACCGGAAGACGGTTTGGTCTGCAAATTTTTCATTGTACATATCGCCCGCTAACAACCAAAAATCGGGCAGCAATTTTTACAGTTGAACTTGTTGATTCGCAAGACATTGCGGACCAGGCGGCACTCCGATTCATGGTGCGCAATGTCGACGCGCTCGGACCACAACTCGCGTCGGAGATCCTCCTGCTCAAGCTGAGTGGAAACCGAAACGGCCCTGACTTGGTTGCTTTGCTGAACAAGTAGAATCGCAAGCCACCCACTTTTCGTGGTGGAAGTATGTTTCCGTCTATTACGTCAATTAGTCTTTATTTTTTATTTTGTGTATGGCTGTTTAATGAATGGAGTTTCATAATGTGTTCAATATTTTCTAGGAGGGCTGTCGAGAGCCGCCTACAAAAATCGGCCTCATGGACAGCATTATGAACGCAACATCGTTGCTTTTCGTGACACGTCCAGTCGGTGACCCCAATGATGACATGGGCTCCCTGCAGATTGACATCATGCGTGCGGCATGCAGAGGCAACATCAGCAGCCGCATGCTATTCATTCTCCTGGATGCGATGCATGAGCCGTTCAACGTCCAAGAGGGTATTTTAGTAAATATTTTTTTTTCGCACATTAATAATTAGATGGCTTTGTTTTGTTACAGAGAAGGCAGTGCTGCGAGAGCGCGCCTATGCTGCCATGCAGACGAGATTTCAACACTACATCGCTCAGTTTGGGCCTCTTGCTGGACCTGTTGCTGGTGGTCAACCACCCCCACCATTGCCTGCAGGACCACCTCCAGTGGCGGTGCCCTTCGTGGCACCAGGACCACCTCCAGTGGCCGATGCCTTGATGGCACCAGGACCAGTTGGTCCTGCTGGAGACGCTCCTGCAGTGGCTGCGCCAGCTTCCCCTTAGTAACTATTTTGAGTTATGGTTCAAATTTGATAATAGGTTACAAAGGTTAATCTCAAGTGAACCTCTTCTTATAATTGTACGCTGCTGATAACTAAGTTTATTTTTAAATTAGTATGACAGATTCAAATATTACTAATGTTATTGCTTAAAAAAATGTTTTTTCCTCTTGTACCGCAGCTTCCTATAAAGGAAATATTTAAAGTGTAGCAACTAATCTTCTGGGTATTTTATTATTTTAAAATGATTTGCCTTTCAATTACATATATACCATATGATAAATGATAATAGTATTAAATCAGTAAGAAACGTGGATCAATCATAAACAATTATTCCTGCCTACGAAGACTGTATTAGAGCATGTTCATATTTTGCTATTAAAAGTACAAATATCAAAACTAATTTTTTTTTTTTTTGTGTTAGACCTGCATTTAATTCTGCTTTGATCTGATGGCAATAAAATCATTGTTCCTTGTTTTAGCTAAAAATGATCACACCACCTAAAGAAATGTATTCATTTACAGTGCCAAAAAAGAGGATAAAGCCATTAAAAATGTATAACTTCCAGTCTAGGTGTCAATGAATTAATATATTTGATTTCAATAAGCAGTAGGGAGGCCACCAATGATTTTATTTCGATCATTTCATAAAGCATTGAAAATCTGGTGAGCGAGAGGAACCGATTCTTCATCGGTGTCAACATCTAGGCGATAAGCAGCCGCTAATTTCAGCAGTCGCGAGAGAGCGCATCAGCAGGTGGGCCGCGATAGGGGTGGCTGGCGCTAGTGGCGGGGGTGCTGACGTCACTCTCGGGGGAGGCCGCCCTCGGACTGGAGACTGGAAGCGAACGCCTCGGACACGGAGCCAGTTCGGCGGCGCTGCTGGAGGCTGTGCGTCTTTTCGGCCTACACGCGTGTCCAGCAGCAGGCCGACCGCCTCCACCGCCGAGCAGCCGCCTCCGGGCCGCCTCCGCACGGCCTCGCACGTCCTCCAACAGTTTGAGCGCGGACATGACGACCTCGGACCGCCAGCCTGCCGAGTGGTGATCGTCGGCAAGGTGAGTTGGCCGCCGCCGACCGCCCCCCGCGGGCCGCCCCCGGCCCTCGCCGACGGCGCTAACGGCCCCCGCGCGTTCTTTCTGCCCCTTGATCGCAAAACATACACACGCCGCGATCAATAATCGCCGTCCTGTGTGCATGGCGCGTGTGCTCTCACGGTGCTGCAGTCCGCAGTCGGCCGCCCCTGGAGAGGCCTCCGACCCAACCCCCGGAGGCCACGTGTCCGCCCCAACGTGTTTTTTTTTCTTTTTTACAAAAGAAGTTCTTTCTATCTGTAGTTCAATTCTAATTTATAAAAAAAGAAACTGTACTAGAAAATGTTTTGATAATCATTACATAATTATGGTACATTATTTCGTGAATTTATTATTATCTTAATGAAAGCAGAGATAAAACGAAAAAATCAAAATGGTTCTTTTATCAACGGTTTTCAAATTAAGTAATATGAATGTGTTTAAAATGAATAATTGGAATATAATGTAAAAAAATTAATATGTTCACATGTGAAATTTTTTTGGTTCTATACAGATTAATTTGGATAATTTTTTTCCAAAAAATTAGATTTTCTATACATCTAAAATTTTCAACACTAATTAAAATGAATTATTAACCATCGGTTGTTACAAAAAATCAATTTCAGCCACACTTCATCTAGAATTTTAGAGGATGTGGAATTATATTGAAATATAATTGGAACTTGTAATAAATTAATTTCAAATTTAATTCATCCTTTTTTCTGCTTTTTTTATGTTTATAAGGAAGGTAAAGGAATTTAAGAATCCCTGGTCAGATGATGACATTTTGATACAAAATTGTGAGCAGGTCGTTTTTGCGCTCGGCGAGTGTTATTGATTGAAACACATGCCGCTGTCTATTGCGCTCGCACTGACCTACTTGTTGACATGCTTTTGAGTCGCGAGCGCTGGGATCTCTCACTCGCGTGTGCGTCTTTCGAGATGTACACACTGCGAATTTTCTTTCGCCCTGTGCCAAAGGAAGCGCGTCGCTTTTTAATCATGCGCGCCGGCAGCTCTTGGAAATCAAAAAGAGCTTTTAAGCCACTTTCGCCGCTCTCTGAGCTGTGTTTGCGTTCCGCCCGCGCCGAACTGTTCAAGGAAAGAATGAAAAGCGATTTAGGAAATGCGTGGGTTCTGGGTTGAGTCGGAAAGAGTTAAATATCTTCAAAAGTTTTTGATAAAAAAAAATCATTGGGCTTCAAGTAACTGTCAAGTTTATTGAAGATTTTTATTTTATATTAAAAAAATTTTTAAGTGTAAAATGTGATTCAGATGATTTTTATTATTATTTTTTTTTATAACTAGTTTTTATTTTTTATCGAATATTCTAATTGAAAAGTAAAACAACATTAAATCTGTAAACAGTGTAGAATTTGAATTTCCGATGATTTATGTGAACACGAAGCCCCAGTTTATATCAGTCTTCAAATACTCTGACTACTTATTTTCTCGTAAGAATTTCTGTAAATAAGCTAATAATATAAGATTTTTAATAGGCTTAATTAAAGAATTATAAAAATAAATTTTGGCAGGAACTCTAATAATTTTTTTTTAAATCACAATAAAGTAGAGTGAATAATAATTATTATTACAATATTTGTGAATTCTAGAGTTGAAAACTGTAAAAAAGCAAAGTTCTGATTCAGCATTTTGCAACGGCGTCACGTTAATAATGATTTGCGTCGCACCAAGTGAAAATTTTCTCATTCTTCTCCGCCCCATCGTGATCTAAATAAGCGTATTAATCATCGCGGAAAATGCCCCAACTTTCGCCTTCGGAACGAAACTCTGATGTAACGTGCGCGAGCAGATCGTTATTTATGGTTCAATGCTTAAAATTCATTCGAGCAACCCGAGCGCGCGCCTCACTCTCGGATAATGCAAAAAAAAATACTGTCGGCATCGTAAAAAACGACGAGCTCTCTTGTTTTTCGCGTCGGCCTCAAAAGTTCCAGCGGAGTAATATCGAGAGGGATGACGCGCGTTGGGTCCAATACCGGCCATAAAGTAAATGTATCTGTATGTCGCCTCTGAATTGGCCACAATGCGAAAAAATATCCCCGCAAACTCCGATGTTTACTCGGATCTGACAGGTCGGATTTCTCCAACATGAAAAAAGATCCAATATCTTTTATACGACTTTTGCTTCTGTCAATTTATTCAAACTGATTTCAATAATGAATGAGTTTCTTTTTTGCAAACTTTTTAGGCCAAGATAAATGTTCTTTTAAGGCTTTTTTGGAAAGAAAATTCTCCTCTATTTTCCCATTAGATATGAAAATGTTGTACAAAAAACAAAGATAAACGGAACAACTAAACATGCTGCGGCACGTGAGGGTCTCTAAATTTGAATTGTGTCCGCAACGTGATAACATGCGGCCGTGTTTGCCGGTCCATGCGAGCAAGTCGATAAACGCGAGCGGCTCTTTCGTAATTTTAACAAAAACGCACGACGTATACGTGATTCTGCAAAATGGCTTTATAGATTGTTTAAATTGACCTCAAAGTATTTCACTTCAAACTAAATTCATATAAAAAAACGCAATTGAATTTATTTAAATTTAGGTAAATTATTCAGAAAAAAGTATTTTTATTAACTAAAAAACATTTATTTACTAAAATCACCATCCACTAAAGCAGGAAAATTGATGTTTATTTGTCTCAGATTAATCATAAGTTAAATAATGCAAAAATCAATCATGTTTGTTTATAAAAAATTGTAATTTGGACATTAATCTGAATTGTTGAAAATTAGAAAGTGGAAAGAATTGTCACCAAAAGTGCGGTCTATTTTAAAACAGGATGTTTTTTGTCCATGTATTTAAAACTCACAAGACTTGCAAGTGGAAATAAAGAGATCGTGTTTTCCTCGCTGCAGAAATTTTTTTTTATTAAAAAGCAATTAAATGGCTTTAACAGTTTCGGTCACGGTCTGCGACCCTATTTCATGAGCAAAAAGTACAAAAATTTAGCAAATTGAAAAAACACCACATTTTAACATAAAAATTCAAATCTTAAAACTTAACAGCAGCGAGGAAAAGCCTGATCTCTTCTCCTCGAGTGTCAATTTCTTTAAAAAAAAAACCAAAAAAACTTGTAAGCTTCAATTTAAAGTATCATTTTTCTGGGCAAGATCCTTCGACTTTTAAGTCCGGCGTGTTTTTATAGAACATATATATTTTTTTTAATGTGCAATCTTAAATTTATCTTTGCAAATAGCCGATTGTTAATTTTCAGATTCAAGTCTCTTTACTGGTCCGCTATGTCTAGCGTATGTTTGGCCAAAATCCCAATTGCACACACTGCAATGTGAAGGAAAAGAGGTCATTGCTCGGCGGGCCGCTGTGTCGGAAAGGCGAGCGCGAGGTCGTGCAAAGCGTCCCTTTCCCCAGCTCGGCTGCATTACAATGAATTTCCGCTGGACCGTTGCCACGAGAAGTTGAAAGTTATCGCAGGGTGAGGCTCACAATGGAGCGTCGAGATTGCTTTTCCTCCTCGCGGGCGCACCCCAGAATGAAAAAAAGCAGCTTCTTTTAATTGTTGCCTCGCTATTAATTGCAAAGGCTCGAGAAAAGACGCTCCTAAATAACGAGCCGGCCAATTTCCAAGACGTCATTCGAGCTCGTAACGTGCACATGGCGGCGGCGCTCGTTACTCCGCCCGCGACACTTCTTTCATTTATGGCCTCAACTTAATGGGTGGAGAAATTAATTTGTTAATTAATTGTCAAGTGCCGCGGTCATTGAAAGCATGTCTGCTGGTTTTCTCAGCAATTGAATTTGATGAGACCCAATTTTTAATTAGGGGAGAAACTTTTTATCACAGACAGTGTCGCTGAACGTTTGTAATAATTATCAAATTTTTTTAAGCGCGTTATTATGAATACCAATAAAAGAGACTAAATTTCTATAACTATTTAGTTTTTTTGCATTAAGTAATTATTGAAATATTGCGGAATTCAATCCTGGAAAAAATGATTAATTAAGAAAAAGACATTATAATCTATATTATTAACTCTCTTGTGCAAAGAGGTTTGCTTTCGTTGTATTAATAATTGTGAAATTTATTATTAATATTTAATACTATTTAACAAATTTTTATTTTTATGATATAAATTATATTTAATATCCACACATCTGATTATAGTCTTGATTATAAATAATCTCGCTATTTAAAAAAATTTTAATAATTTTTAAGCCAGTATTTTTATGCATTTTTAATTTGAAAATTGAATTCGTTATACTTGGCATTGCTAACTTTTGTATTTTTATTGAAGTTGTGTTTTCCACTTGGTCGCTCTGAGCACAACGCCCATGATATGCGTTTGCAATTTCATATTCAAATTGGCCCGCTGTGAATTTCCATTTTGTTTGATTTAATTTAGAATAATTGCAAGCCGGGGTGGCTCGATTTGCATGAGAAAATCCTCGCTGCTTCTCTCTCGCTTTATCTCGTTGGTGACGTAAAAGGGATTTTTGCGGCGCGCCTATGTATGAATTCGTCGCGATCCCAGCATGGCTTCGGGGCCACATAAAGCGCGGCCGAAAATGCGCATGATCATTAAAAATTTAACCCTCGAAACGGTGTTTCGTACCAGTGCACGAAAATTTTATCAAAACCACGGCTCATCACGGAAAGTAAACGCTTTGGAAAATTGATTCAATGCCACAAAAAAGTCGTGCCGATGAATTTTTTATTTGAGAATGGGGTTTCCCGAGTTGCGTTTACGAGCCAGAAGATGGAAAACGAAGCACCTCGTCGCTCTTTTATATGAGCTGGAAAAAAAACGCAAAAAGAAAATTGCTTTCGCTCCTCTTTTTTGCAAATGACGCTGCACGTGAGCGAAGAAGAATATCTTTTATATTCCACGAAACAACCATGTGTGTTCTCGTTTAGTGCGAATCGACCCATCCTTGTGGGGAAATTTGAGAAATAAGCTCTAGATCAGGTTGATCTCACATTTTTTTAATGTAAATTCCAATTTTGAAAAAACTTGGTTGAATTAACGATCAGGATCAAACCAACATGGTGTTCAAATAATTGTGGTTTTTAGAGAACATATAATATGATAATATTGAATCCATTCATATTTTCGTATTTCTATGCATTGCATAACGAGGAATTTTTCTTACTCGGTCGTGGAATGATTTAATTAACGTCAAGCCATTGGAATCTCATAAGTGTTTTTCGCTCTGGCATATAAGAGAGGCAAAAAATGTGTCGGATCAAATAATCACCCAATATCCAATCCAGAATTCTCGTGGAAAATTTTCTTGTAAAATATTGAAATTTCACCCACCTTGGAACCAGGAAGGCTTTATAAAGAAAACGATTAGCAATTTTTTAATCAAAACACAACATGAACTTTGCGAGCGACCCAATGTTTTCTTCAGAAGATATCAATTGAAAAATTGTTGCCATTTTACAATTAATTAAGTGAGAGCTGATAAATGAACTTGTTTTCAGAGATTTACAGTTTTTGTGTGTGTCAATTTCATTCAAAAACCCCATTTTTACATAAATGTATTATTTTTCCTTTTATTGTTTACCGCGTTTAGAGGCGCCGAATTGAAGAAACAATTTCTTGATTTGATGGAATTTCGAATAAAATTGTGCAACGCTTCATTTTGTGTGTTGGTGTTTAGGTGGCGGGTGTCGGGGCATGGCCGCCGTGGAGCGCGAGGGCCGCTCAGTGGCACTCGAAACGGCCTACGTGCACGAAGTCTACGACCAAATCTCGACGCACTGTCCCTCCTACTCCGCCGAGGGTTCCGAGGGTTCGAATGGCGCAAGGATCTGGCCACGGGTCCGCCAGTTCTTACAGGATCTCGAGCCTGGCTCGCTTGTCTGTGATGTTGGTAAGTAAATATTAAATGCAATTCTATTAAATTGCATAATCTTATTAATTAAATCGTCTTCTTGTATTAAGATGAGACAGTTTTCCAATTCGAAATTGATAAAATGATGAAAAACCGTGAACCTGAAAGTATAGGAATTAAAAAAAAAATATTTAAAACCAAAAACATAACAAAGTGTGGCTAGAAAATTAAAAATCATGAAAAATTAATTGTTTAAATTGCAAAAATTGGTTTCAGAAACCATTATAAAATTTAAATTTGAAATTGAGTGAAATCAGTGAATATTTTCAAATATAGCAATTTGATTATTTTAAAAATTGCCTGTATTAATTAAACAAACTTAAATGTCAGCAAAGTATTCATTTATTAATTTTTTTTTTAAGAATTCTATATTATTTTATAAAGGCTCACAAATTAATTTTCATCCACTTATTCTTCGTGTTTTTATTGTATATTTGATTAAATTTTTCATTCGGTGCGCCTTCCACTCGCTCTCTCTTTTGTCCGTTTCCACCGAAACGAACGTAATTGAATGAGCTGAATGGAGCTGCTGAATTTCTGTTCACAGGCTGTGGGAGCGGCAAGTACTTGCACATTAACCCAGACGTGTTCAAAATCGGGGTTGATCGATGTGCTCGGCTCACCGAGTTAGCCAGAGAAAAGGACCACGAGGCAAGTGCAAATTGAATTTGCCCGTAATAAGTTTAAAGTTGAAACTCTCGTTTGAAACTCGGCAGGTGATGGTGTGTGACAATCTGGCGCTGCCCTTCAAGGACGACTGTTTCGACGCGATCCTCTCGGTGGCTGTGGTTCATCACTTTGCAACCACGGAGCGGCGCGTCAACGCCCTCAGGGAGCTGGCCAGGGTGCTCCGCATCGGGGGCAGGATGCTCATCTCCGTGTGGGCCATGGAGCAGCGACACCGCAAGGTGAGACGCTTCAATCTAAAAATATGAAGAAAAAAAACCTCACCTGAATCCCTAAAAATCACTATCTTCAAACATTGCGATTTTTATCACAAAAGAGTTTTTGGGGGTATTTTTTTTTTCATTTGGCTCCTTTTTTGGCTTTTTCAAATACATCCTTAATTATGTTTGGCGAGGCGCATTGAAAAGCTCATTTCGCCACTGAAAAGCAGCTCTGAAAGACGAGACGCCCGAGGAGATAGAGCACGGGAACGGCGTTGATTAAGAAAGAAATTGCGCCGCCGAAAGCGGTCGGCCTCCGTCGCTTCCTCCCTCGTCATTGTTCGCGCGCGGGTTTAGAATGGCAGAGGCAGAGACGCAGGACGGAAAGGGTCGGGTCAGGCATAAAATCCATTGTTTTATTATCTCAACAAATGGTGCCGCCGTAAAAAAAAGCAGCAGCGAAACAGAAAAGTTTTGAGCCTAAAACCAGCAGCAATGCATTGATTGCAAACAGAGAGAGACGCGCGCGCGTTAAAATTTATTGCAAAAGTTGGCCGGCGCGGAAAATAAGTTTTTTCCTTATCGCGACGTTGGGGGTTATTTAAAAAAAAGGGTGAGGCGTTATTTTGCACAAAATATTGTCTTCTGATCACGCAAGGCTGACAGTTTTTATGTTCTATTTATTTTCGGAAAATAATGAGAAAATAAAATTACCTTGATGTTTCTCTTTTATTATACAACGCCTCCGCTATAAAGTTTCCACAAAAGATCTTAATATGAATCTAAAATATAGATCAATCATTGATTATATGAATAGGGGAATTTTTTTAAATTAAAAATAATTCTAGAATACATAATTTCTGGTTAAAAACATCCGTACAAACGTCAGCTTATTAATATTTGATGAACGTATTAATTTTTAGGGTGATTGTAGGAAAAAAAATGTAAATTTGGTTGAATGGGTTATTTTGTATTAATTTTCTGTACTCTTTTTTTATTAATTGAAATTTATTAAAATGATTAGGTGCAAATAGTTAATATATGTAAATTATTATTTCAAAATTTTCTTTTTTTGATTTTAAATAAAATATTTAAATTTAGTAAAATTTAAGTTGAAACTATAGTTGCGCGTAGTAATATCAATGTTTATAAAAGATTAAAATAATAAAAATAATAGAAATATTTGTTTAATAAATTTCATTGCAGTAAATTGTACTATTGTGCTATTGTCATATTTTTTAGATCATTCATTTAAAAATTATAAAGTTTTCATAACTCCAAGTTCATTTTATAATATAATAATTAATTTTTTCAATTTTGTTTATGTGAAGTGATTTTGTAGGCATTCTATTAATAATTTTAATATTTTAATCCTTGGTTTTTTCTTGAAATGCGTGACTTTTGGTCAGTTTTTGTGAAATGTAAATTTAAAACCTACAGAAAATACGAAAATTTTTGGTTTTTTCACCTTTTTCTTTACCTAGTAATTAAAACCTTCATTATTTGACTGAATTTACATCAAGGAACAAAATAATTGAAATTTTTCTTTTAATGTTTATTTTTCATTCATCGAGGTATCATTAATAAGAACACAGTCAAAAAGCTCCATGCCGCGGCATGGATTTTGGCTTAGGTCAAGCTTTAATGCTTGTCTATTTTACTTCTAATTACTCAATTGTTGTTTATTTTGATTTCAATTGCAGTTTGAGTCGCAGGACGTGCTCGTTCCGTGGCACAGACCGCAGCAGCAGCACCTGAGCACGCCGTCGCTCGAATTGGCCTCCACAGCGACCACGTGCACGACCACAAGCGAGGAAGGCGAGGCCGCCGGCCCTCCGCCGTACCACGCGTACACCCAGACTTCCGACAGCGACTCGGCTAGATCAGTCAGGTACCGCGGTCGAAAGCCCTTCTCTGTTATTTGTCTCTGAGTGGATATGTGTTTTTTTCCAAAATAGGGCAATGTCTGCCAACCAACCCCGCAAGAGGGGCCGTTCGAGGAAGGGCCGTTCCATAGACCCGGGTAGACCCACCAGCTCAAGCTCCGACCTCTCCAGTCCCAATGAAACCTGCTACAGTTTTGTTAGAAGAGCCCTCCAGGTATATGTTTTTTTCTCGTTCGCCTGCATGATTTCTGTTTCAAATCAAGATCATTTGTTTCCGGAAAATATTGTTGAGATATTTTTAAGTTTCGGCATGCAACGTGTAATTTACCAAGAATAAATTTCTCCATTTTTATTTTACGGAAGGAAACGTAAGAAATTCACCACGTCAATATCATTTCCAATTGCGTGCTACTAAAAAAAATATGTATTAAAAGTTCTCAGCTTTCTTTTTTTTTGCACACAAATTTACTTTCATTTACAAGTTTGGTGCTTCTTTCAACTTTTAAAACATTACCCAATAATATAAAATTTTAGTTAACACTAAGTAAATTATACAATATACTTATTACCTCATAATAAATATAACTACACGTTATTATTTAATTAACTAACAAATTAATTTTAAATTAAACCCACAATAAAACTTATTAACTAAAATTAGATATTATTGAAAATAATAAAAATAAGCCAACAACACAAATATGCCATTTAAATATAAATAAAATTAAATAACAAACATATATTGGATTAAGAAATTTGTGTGGATTTAAAATGACTATTATTTATAATAATTTTTTTCCAATCTTGTTATAATCGAGTCTCTAATAATTTATATTGCCTTTTATTCAGAAATTGGCTGGAGGCAGAAGGGGTGGTTCTCGGAATCGAGCGTGGTTCCTCGACTCGTGGACGTGTTCGAAAGATCACGAAAACGCAGAGGCCTTTTTGGCAGACCGGCGGACGGCCCGCGAGGATTCGCTGCAGGACGCGCTCGACCTGCCCATCGAACTCCGCCGATTGGAAGACGTGGAACCGTCTTTGCCGACCAGCATTGACAAGAGCAGCCCCGATCCACCGAGACGGCGTCGGACGTTGGCGTGCGGGGCGCCGACGCCGCCGAAAAGACTCGAGCCGACGTCCAAGTCGCAAAGTTTGGGCGACATTCTCAACACGGCGCGTCCCGAAAGTCTGGTGCGGTCGCGCTCCAGCGTGGCCCGACTGCCGCTTGCCCCTGCGTCTTCCGCCGACTCGGAATCTTCCACCCCTCCACCCCCTCCACCTCCTGCGGCAGCGAGTGCCCCCGGCCACCATCACCACCACCACCATCCACCCCTGGTGCGGCAGAAAAGGTCTCTTTGTGAGGACGACGAGGACGAAGCGCGCGAGGCCGAAGACTGCCCCGGACCGGACCCGGTGCGTCGCGCCGACCTGAAGGACATGGTGAAGCAGTTGCCGGAAATCAAACATCCGCGCCGAGGTGTGCCGAAGCAGCGGTCGTTGAACGACGAGCTCATGGCCACCCATCGGCAGAGGGAGAAGGCGCGGGTCAGGCAGAACATCACGAAGCAGGCGTCGCTCAACGAACAGCTGTTGGGAGAGAGCCGAGGACGCTTCGGCACGTTGAAGGACACCCTGCTGGCCTCGCCCAGGTTTCAGCAGCTCAAGTCGGGTATCACGAAACTGACGACGAGCATGAGCACTTCACCTTCAGATGCAACAAAAGTTAGTGTTTTTTTTCTCTCAATGAAATAGGCATTTCGCTTAACATGATTGTTGTGCCAGTTGCATAGATTCGTTTCACATACATACCATTAAATTTAAAACTACATAATGCATCAAATTTGATAATTTTTTTTGCATAATTTCAAACATGGAATCTAAAAAATAAATAATAATAAAAGTAACATAATTATGTTGTATATTAATAATGTTAATAGTAATATATTTATTATTAATATTATTTTATTATTTTTAATATGATGTTTTTAATGTTCTAAACTATAAATATTTTTGTTACAGGTTGCAAGCCAAAGTTTCAAAAACGGTTTTGTGCGCATCCTGCAAGGGTGGAAAGGTGACTCAGCGGAGAACGGCTCTCATCCTTCAGGCCCGACCATCACGATTCCAACCACCCCTCAGCCTCCTCCGACTCCTCCTCCCGTGTCACCGTTGCGCCGCGTGGCCGACGAGGACAATCCCCCTGACGGCGGTCGTCGCCACTCGCGAGAGGACAACTCTGACTCGAGCAAGGACTCGAGCCTGCAGAGCGACACCAGTGTTGACTCGGAGGACAGTTTCGCCTCTGTCATTTTCATCCCCAAGCCCGAGCCTAAGACTGACTTCAGCAGCCCTCCCGACAGCAAATCCCCACCCTGCCAGACCACCTCCCCGCCCATAATTCTCGAGCCCGTCCCGGAAATCGTCCCCGCCGAGGTCAAACCTGAGGTGCCGGAACCGCCTGTGCTGAAACAGACCGGCACCATCAAAACGGAAACTCTGCGGCGCATCCAGCTGCTTCTGCAACAACGCACCCCCCAGCCGGTCAAACCACCCTCGTTTCCCCTGGTGCGCAGAAGCTCGGCACACCCTGTCGGCCAACCGACCAGACCGATCCCTCGGCTGCTCAGCCTTGAACTTTTCAACCCCGAAACCGACGACCTGGACAGCGACTCGAGCGGCGTCTCCTCGCCCGACTCGGTCATCAGCGTGATGGAGCCCAACGGACGCGTGTCCACGGGACGCAACTCGCCCATCGAACTGGTCATCGGCGAGGAAATGGCTTTGGCCGAAGCTCCGAAAACCGCGTCTTCCCTGCTCGAAGCGGCCGCCAGTGTGGCGAGCACCCTCGAAGGCGCCGTCGACGCCGTCATCCAATCCAGTCCGAGGGCCAGAAAAAAACTGGCCGCCCTGGGTCTGGTTTCTCCACCACCGGTGCCCCCGCGACCCCCGGACGACGACTGTCGCCGACACCTGACCGAATTCGCCGACAAACTAAGCGAGAAGCTTTTGGAGGAGATCGACAAGTACTCGGAGAGTCTGCAAAAGGAGAAGCTGGACAAGGAGCAGCAGTTGGACGCAGAGCGATACCTGCAGGGCTTGCAGGAGATCAACTCGGACATTGGTCACCAGCTGGCCAAGCTGAACGAGGACATCGAGTGTCTGCAGCTGGAGAGCAGCAAGGAGCAGAGCAAACTGCAGCCGGGGGCGCTGAAACAGGTCAAGCAGTGCAGCCCGAGCAATTCGCTGACCGGGCCGGACCCGCCGACCAGACAGGTCAGCTGGGAGGAGAGCATCATCAGCAGTCCCGAGTTGCGCCGGGAGGCGTCCAAGGACAGTAGCGGCAACGAGGACAGCCTGCGGCGGAAGCGCAAGTTCCTCACGCGGCAGCAGGCGTCCTCAGGGTGGCCCGAGCTGGAGAGTTTGCCGCCCAAGGTGACCAAGACGGAGAGTTACGAGACGTCGCTGAGCGGCAGCACTTCGCAGGACTCGCTGCAGTCGTCGTCGGCCGGCAGCTGCGCGGGGCCGCTGGGCTCGGGCGGGGCCCTCACCTTCCACAGGTACTACCACGTCTTCAAGGAGGGCGAGCTGGACGCGCTGATCGATCGCTACGTGGAGAATCTGCACATCATCTCGTCGTACTACGACCACGCCAACTGGTGCATCGTGGCCGAGAAAGTGCAGGTTTGGACGATCTAAAATCTTGGAAATTTATTATAACCAAACCGCCGATCAAGAGAGGCTCCTCTGCCAATGCGAATTCTGCGGTTCGCCTTGCATTTAATAATAAAAAATAAATATATTGTTGGTCAAACGAATCAAAACTCGCCACGGGCCTAAACAATTTTTGCCAAATTTTCATGTTTATATAAACCTCGGTGTCATCGGTGTCTCCATTCGGGCTTTAACAAGAAAAAAGGAAAATCTTTTTAAATGTGAATTATCCTTTTCAATTCCCGCAGTTGAGCTGTTTCGGTAAGGAAAAGTGAAACTTTTGTGAATGCTGATTTGAGAGAACGTGGCAGAGGAACCTTCTTTTTATATAATATAGCATTTAAGAGAAAAATTTCACAGTTGCATTTGTTAATGTGTAAAAGCACAATCATTTTGTAATTCAGCTTTCTCGTTATTGTGATGTAAATACGTCTCTTGTCGTCTGTTAAAAACATGATTTTAATAAAATGCAAACTGACGGTTAACCTGTAAAGAGTAGGAGAAAAACGACCCAGCACTTCCTATTCGACACCACGTACGCAGCATTTGAGCGACAATTAGCGGTGCAGTGGAAGCAGATCTATTTTTATATATGTCGTCGTCATTGACGTCTCGGGATCTCATCTCATGACTCGATATTAAACCTAGTCTATCTCCTATAAGGCCAAATTTTTGAAAGTCTATCATCCTTCGCTTTACACTCACTTATTTGCGCGCAATTTGTTTTTAATAAAATTGTACATGCGAAAAGAGACTGCAACTTATTTGTCTTGATTGTGATCTGGAGCTTTCTCTTGCTATTAAAATTGTAACGCAAATTTCTTGGTTCCACTTTTCTCTACAACGAAAAACTTTTTAAAAATATTTCCCACACACGTTGCACAACTCTTAACATGCATTTGCTGCGGATTGTTTCTGCATAATTTGCGAATTATTATTATACTTATTATGTATCACACCAAATTATACATATTAATTAATTTGTGATAGACAGGCGTATTTTTAGCAAATTATTGATCTCAACTTTTAGCGCTTCCAAATTATTTGCAGGATTTTTTATTAGAAAAACTTTTGCATTGATAAAAATTTATTGTGGTGATAAAAAGTGTTACTGCCACAAATTACGATTAATATGCGCTTTTAAAGTTGAAGAACAAACACACATTTTCTCTCGCCAGTTCTTACCAAAAAGCTATTATCGTTATTTAAAAAGTTTTTGAGCATAAAACTAATCAATGCTATATTTGAGTGTACTGAGCAGTGAAAAATCATTGTGTTTTCTATATTTAAAATTTATCGTATTGTTACATGGACTATGTAAATTAAATACCAAAAATACAAACTGATAACTTGCAAGACGTGTCATTTCTATAAACCTTTTCTTGTCAAAAATTGTAAGTTGTGAATCAATATCAATATAATAAAAAATTTATTATTTATCAGTAATGAAGACAATAAAAAAAATTCCACCTGCTTTCAAAAGTTTTTTGGTGATAAGAAATTAGGTCGCAGGCCTCAAAGCAATAAATGTAATCCATTTTAAATTCAAGAAGACTGTGTCAATCGTCAATGTCAAAATTGAGGAAGAAAAAACTAAAATATATATTGCAATTGCTTGGTGCAAAATGTCAAGTCTATTTATTTTTATTGTTTGCTCTCTGCACATGAACGTTTTTTTTTAACATTGTATTGGATTTAACAGCATACAACAGCGGCACAATCTATTTAATCGGTAGCCCAAAAATATTTTATTCAGTCAAGAGAGCGTCATGTTGAAAAGCTCGCTTGGAATGCACTTAACAGACAAAACATGATACTTGGTGCAAATAAATATGATACAAGATTTATGAACAGAGTTAAAATGACAAGGAAAAGAACCACATTGTAAACAACGCAATAAATATATTAAAAAATAAGAGCTAAAACCGGTAGGATGAGTAAATTTAAAAAATAGAAAATAGTTTTTTACAGCACTTGATGGCCAGCAGGCACGCAAAACGAATTACAAAGTTCAATCGCTCAGAAGAAAGGACTCGCGGTCCACAGTTCAGGTTTGTGTGCGTACAAAAGCGCGTTGGCAACACACCAGATTGCAATTCTCAGATTTAGACAGGATTATCACATCGATACTTATTAATATATAATTGAATTAATATATATGTATGTTGAATGACTTATTCAGCTTAATGAACAAATGCAAGAGTAGCTGCCACTCACTAGTGACTTCGAGGCACAATGCCAAGAGTGTACCACTCGGGTGTTGGCTCGCCGGAAACGGCCAGATTCCTCAGGGGGATGCAGACGCCTCCGAGAAACTCGTTCTCTTGCAACGAGTCCCGGTTCCAAATGGTCGCCTCCAAAGTCCTGCTGTGAACCACATTCAGATCTAGTCTGTACTCCAGCTGAAAACGCAAACAAGTTGCAGTCTTGAAATAAACATTGATTTTTTTTTTTTCGCAAACTGACCATTTCCATGAACGATGGGTGACAGCTCTTTTTTACCACCTTGGTCTTTCTCTTGGTGACCTTGGGCTTGTCGGGGGTCAGGTAGACCTTGACGTAGGTGGACGGCTCCTGATTGCCAACCAGAGGCAGCGCCCGCGCATGGTGCACCATCACAAGCAAAACGTCTCGCCTGTATTGCACGGAGAGTTTCAACTGGCCGGTTATGCAACCCGCTGGGCCTGCGTTGTCATGCTTGGGTTCTGCAACAAATAAATGAAGAAGTTTCCTTTTTGTTTTTACGTGTTGCACACCTTTCACTTTCTTCGCGTGGATGTTGGACTCCTGCTGGTCACGCAGAATGGGGTGGAAAAAGGTGTAGACGAGGTCCGAGTGGGCGATCTCGTCAGCCATCACGAAAAGGCTCTGCAGGAAACGCTCAATTTCCATCCGCCGCTTTTCAGCCACCTGCTTGATGTTCGTTCGCCCAACGTGAAGGCCCGTTGGTAAACTGGAAAATTAAGCAAATATTTTAAAAATTCACAATTGTCTCAAATTTTAAATCAAAATTGCAAATTTAGGTTCCAAATCACTAAAAAAATCTGTTTATTAAGCAATCGGACAGGGAAGTTGTAAACTGGCACAAATTTGTGAAAAAAAAAATTATTTTTGTATTTAATTTTTTACCAAAGAACAGATAATTTTCAAAGTGAATTGAAGTGTTTGAAGAAATTGACACTCAAGGAGATGATCATGGAAATGAAGAACTCAGGCTTTTTTCTCGTTGTAAAAAAAGAGCCGTCTTGCTTTTCAATAAAAACAATTTTTTACAATGAGGAAAAAGCCTGATTTCACTTTTCATTACCATGAATCATACCGAAATAAGTTTTTTGCGTTGCCCTAACATCATACAGATCAAATCAGTCTGGTTGAAAAAATATGTCGTCACGAGAGATAATATAAAATAAGGCAGACTGATAAAAACTAATTCTGCGGTTCACAGTAGCGCACTAGAGCCAATCACCTGCTGCAACGACTATGGAAGACCAAACAGGTTTAGTTGCATTTTCACCATCACACGAGCATTGCTGATTAATCTTTATTCAAAATTCCAGTCATGTTTTTGACCCTCTGCATCGTCTTTTTAATGTTCTTCTTGGTGGCAATGCTGATTATAAAGTGCCATGCCCTCCTTCCCGAAAACTACATGTTCATGAGCACTGCGCAGAAGTGGCGGTTCTTGAAACAGAGCGTCCAGCGATGGTGGTCACGTCGCTTCGGCGACAGCTCGCCGATGGACAACTCGGACAGCGCCGACATCACCGTCGCCAGCAGTCCGGCGTCCCTCCGGTCGGAAATCACGGCCGACGTCGCCCCGCCGCCGCGCTACGACGACGTCGTCGACAGCAGCCAGCCGCCGCCCTACTCTCCACCCTTCATCATCAGCCCACCGAGCTACTCGGAGGTGGCCGCCCACCAAAGCTAACCAACGACGAAAACAAGGACAATAAAATTCACTTATCTCCCTGGATTAGGCCTAATAATCCGACACGAATTGGCAAGTGCAATAAAAAAGCCGAGAGATAATGAGAGAAGAGTCGTGTCAAAAGAACCGCTTTGTTTTCCGTCAGACTGCAGCTACGTTTCAAGACTAACACCATGGACAATACTGAAGGTGAACTTGGTCAGTTTTTATACCCTTGTCCGATGCACTGTTTTAAAACGACTGCCCAAAGTGAATCTTATCGGTCTTATCATGTGCTTCGACTGAGCTGGGCAAAGTTGATTTGTATTTTTTCTAACTCTCAAAACGCCAAAGAAAATTAAAAAAAAAAAAAAAAATGATAATAATTCACTTTAAAATTTAAAGCTCAAATTATATTAAAAAATTGTGAACCTTCATTAATCAACTACAAATAATTATTTATTTTGGTATTATGTAACATTATTTAAATACAAGCAAATCATTCCAATTTTAACTGCAAATAAGTCATAACAAGATTATTTTTAATACTGAATTCCTTTTGGATTATTTAACTGATCAATTAAAAACATTTTTCAGCGTTGACCGCCGTGCTAGTAGTCGTCGTCGCCGCCATTCTGATATTCCTTTTCCTCGTCACGATGTTCCTACTGTGCCGATTGAAACTGGCGACGCCACCGGCGCCGTCGACGCGAGCAACCCGCAACTCGATGATCACGGCCATGGCCGCCGCCCTGGCCGAGCGGGCGCGCCGCTCCTTCCGACGCCAGCGGCCACCGACCTACGACGAGGCCGTGGCCGCGAGCCCGTCGACCAGCGACCTGCCGCAAGAACCGCCTCCGTACAGCGAGGCCATCAAGCAGCAGCAAGTGGCGCCGCCGGCTTACGATTCGCAGGAGCAGCACATCTGATTTCGTCACGCAACAATTTTATTTTATCGACGTGTGAATGTGAAAACTGCGAGGACTCTGTGATAAGAAGGAAGACTGATTGTGAGCCATGCGTTTTCAAATCGAGTGAAGACTGAGAATGGGCCAATTTTGTGGTGACTGTCTGTGCGGAGAGCCTGTTTTTGTGCGTCATTTAAATTTTCAACAAATTTATCATTTATCACGGTCTCAATAAATTTTCCAATTATTTTCTTAAACGAATTGATTATTTAAAAAAACCCTTTACAAATAATTAATTGGAATATGTATGATTAATTTAAAATGTTGATGAGCTCTATTTGATTTTTTTTCCATGAATTAAATTTACGTCTGTGGGTTCTAATCTGGCCAATCTGTACTTGAAATACCTAACGTGTTCAGGGTGACGTCGCATTAGAATAGAACTTGGCTGCGCGGAGATAAGCAAAGTGGCAGAGAGATAGATCCCGAGATAAGGCGCCAGTCTTGTCCCGAAAGTGTTGCGATGCGGTTGCCCGACGGGGTAGACGGAGTTGCGGCACAAATCTCAGGTTCGTTTTAATTAAACGACCATTTCAAACATATTGAGCGGAGAATAGGCATTACTGTTTCATAGTACCGATTTATCCTTTGTCGATTTTACAATTTAAAAACACGAATTCAATTTGGAAAATTAAGAGATTATCAGCAACTGCAATTGAAAACCACTTTTGATTAGAATTTGAGGTCGATCGTGTGCGCGCATTGCAATAATTACATGCATTATCTGAGATTAAAAAAAAATCATTGAATAATATTGTCATACTTTGATTTTAAAATCTCAATTCAATGTTATTTTAATCACAAGTTAAATAAAGTTTTTAGAATCCTTAACCATTTACATGAATTCGACCGAGTTTGTTTTAACCAAACGCTTTTTCTTTTATATTTTGAGTGGAGCTAAAACTTTTTTTATAATTTTGTTGGTTAAAAATAGTAAATGCAATTAGTCATTTAAAAACAAGCGGAATCCATATCTCTCAAATCCATCAATATAATTAGCTTAACCGACTTGTGCTCCTTATCAAGTATGATTGTTCTGTCTCTCAGGTGTGTCGACGTTCCTCATCTCAATCGCTTGCTCGTGCTGCTTCGTGGTGCTGACACTGGCTATGGGCATCAAGTTCCCCTGGTTCCGGCGGCAATTGCGCCTCGGCACCGTGGCCCAGATGACGGCCACGTTGGAGGCCAACGTTAAAAAAGAATCGGCTGCCAGGGCAACGAACGTGCCTTCCCAGGGCGTTTTCAAGCGCTGGGACCAGGAAGAAGCGGGGCCGCCGCCTGAACCTCAACGGGTCGTTCTTCGCAAGGACAGACCGGCACCGCCACCGCCCCAGGTTCCCAGAAGCAGGTCGTTGCCCCCGGCGAGCAGAAAGAGCGAACGGCCGGAAGTGCCGGCTCCAGTGGCCCCAAGGACGGGAAGCATCAAAGAGACCTCGCAAGGTCGCAGGGAGCGCAAGGTCGAGGACGAGAGGCTGAAGGAGTTGCAGAGGCAAGCGAATTTGGCGGTTCCGGCGCAAAGGTCGGCCAGCGCTAAAGAAACCTCCCAGAGTCGCAAGGAGCGCAAGCTTGAGGAGGAGAGGATCAAGGAGTTGAAGAGACAGGAAATGCTGAGGCGCAAAGCGGAGGAGAAGGCGATGCGCAAGAGTGACAAGAGCAAAAAACGAGCCACGGTTGGCACCACGGTGGAGCCGGTCAGGGTGCAGGAGCCGCAGGTCAGCAGCAGGGTCAGCGAACCGCCTCCACTTCCAGCTTCTTCGCCTCCAAGCACGAGTCAGGCGCCGGCTTTGCCACCAAAAGAGAAGAAACAGCCCAAAAAAGAGGAGAAGATTCCAGCAAGGGTCGTGTCTGAGCCGCCAAGGGTGGAAGAACCTCTGGAGAGGGCAGTGGAGCCAGAACAACCAAGAGTGGTTGAAGCTGCCAGGAGGACACCGGAGCCTCCAGTTGCGGCCCCCGAAATTATTGTCAACTTCGAGAAAAGGTTCCCACGAATTCGACCAATGGAGCCTCCGCCCAGATTCGTCGAACCCCCTCCGCCGGATGCTTTTGTCGTCTCAGGTACTGAGGTCAAGGGCAAAAAGAAGGAGAAGAAAAAGGACAAAAAGAAGAGCAAAGAAAAAGTGAAAAGCGCGCCACCAACGAGACGCAACCCTCGAGCTTTGGAGCCAGAGTTGGCACCGCCTTCAGTCGAAGAGGCGGTTCTTTTTGAAAAGGTCAACGGCGCCACCTTCCAGAGGAGTCTGAGCCAGGAGGGTGGTCCCAGCCATATGAGCCTGCAACTTCCGCAAGAAACGGTGATGGTGCCTCGCAGTCCTCGACCGACTGTCAAGAGTCTAACAAATCGGCCGCGGCTTCCAGCTAAGAAAAAGGCGGCGCCGCGGGCGATTCCTGTGGCACCGCCACGGATATACACCCCTCCAGCGACCCCGCCACCCAAGTACGAGTCTCCAGAACCCGACATGACCAACTTTGAGCGGGACGGGGTGTTCAGCTTCCGGTTGCCGGACTCCCCAGAGCCGATGGAGGTGCACCCCAGTTTTCTGGCGCTGGTGCGTCCGGCGGAAGAATCCGACGAGTGCGACGCGTGATTCGCGTTAATTTTTATTTCAAATATTGCCACTTGGGCGATTAAATTGTTCGTCTCACGAGCGTTATCGCTGTAAATAAATACACTGACATAATCTCGAGATAACGCCGCGGGCGGCAAACGCTGTTGTCTGTCAGTCAATAGCGCAGCGCTTTGTTTTTCCTGTGCTTGTTCCATTTTGCTTAGCACAGGATTTGGTTGGAAATCGTCAGACGCCCAATTAAAAAAAAATTATTTGACAAGTGCCTGATTCATTATGTAGCTCAAAGATTATCCGTGCAAGAATATTATTTGCTCACATGAACTTCATATCATGTTCTGGTATTTAGGCAAAATAAATAAGATGAACCAACAAGGAATGCTAGTTGTTATCATTAAAGAAATAAACAAAAATTGTGTCAGATGACAAGTAAATAAACTCACCTGTGGAGCTTTGCCAGAGGGAAGTGCAGACAGAGCTTCTCGTGCAGCTCGCAGTATTCCCGATAGGAGCGGAATAGAAATGATGGGTCAGTCTGGTTGACTCTTTTCACCCTCGTGATGTAAAGGTAGCATTTCTCAGGATTGTACCTTTTTTGAACGCCGTGAACTGACGCCTCAGTTATTTTCCCTTCTTGTTGCAATCTGAGAAGCACAATTATTTTTAGAAATCAGTAAAAACAATATATAAATAAATCTCATACGTATAAACATTTGGAATGAAACTGAGCAGCTCTCCTTCAGTGCTGCTGCCAGAAAACTGCAACTGGGCGAGGTTGTGCAGGAAAAAGTTGAACTGGGTGAACCACGACTTCAGAGAGCTCTCAATCATGCGGGCAAACATGGCAGCAGCTTCTACGTTGGAATGGTCAGGGAGGAGGGCTCGCTGGACGTACTTGACAGCATCCATTGTCACGCCGGGAATGCCAGATGAAACCATCTTCAGAAAATTGATATTTAGAAATGTTTAAAAAAAGGTACTAATACTTACCAAGCCGAACATGTTGAGTAGCAGATTCCTGTGATTTCTGACTATATTAAATGCTTGGCAGCACAAATCGACGAAATGATGGAACTTGGCTGATGGTTTGTCACCTCCGTTTATAACGTAAGCCATGTCAGATGTCAACACAAAAGGAGTCCGGTCCCTAATGTTATGGATTAGTTTAGGATTTATGTTTTGAATTCCATTAATATACCTCTTGAAGTTTCCAAACATTTGCGCATCTCCCAAGAACTTGCCAAAGTCTATGTGGAACATGTGGCCAGATGTTTTCAGCATGATGTTGTCATTGTGTCGGTCACATATTCCCAGCACATAAGTTGCCACGCAATAGCCAGCACAGGATGCTGATGAAAAAATATTAATATCAGATATTGGCAAATCTTAAAATTTACCTGTGAAGTTTTTGACAGCAATCTCATACTCCAAGGCAGATGGATTGTGCTTTGCAAGCCATTCTGCTATAGGTCTGTCTTTAAATGAGCCAGTCAGACCAAGTTCTACTTGAATTTTCCTCAGAGTCTCAGAATTAGTAACCATTTCAATTATGCCTGAAAAAATGCTTTGTAAATAAAAAGAAATCCAAAAATTAGATTAAATAACTACCTCTTTTATGACCTGTTGGAACACAGCCAAAAGTAACCATTTTCAAATCGAGACCCTCTCGAAGCCACAATTTGTCCATGATCTGGATCATCTGGATTGTCAACATATCCTGTTGCAAGTCATCTCCAACCTGAATTTTAATAGTTTTACTCATCATCAATTTTCAAACTAGGAAATAAATCACCTTGAAAATGGCAGGGATTAAGGCACCACTCTCCTCAGTGCTGAGGAAGTTGAGTTTGAGAGGGAGGGTGTTTGAGTGATAATATGAACAGGAGCGGATGTGGATTCCAGCCACTTCCAGGCTTGGCTTGAGAGGAAGACATGTTGGCGTTTCTTTGATGATTTGGTGCGCCACTTCTAAACCTTGGTTCAGAACGCCAATTCGCAGCGAGTCCTTACAGCCTTTAACATTTTCAGCAACGGACGCCAATTCCTATTCAAAAAAGTATTACTGCAAAAGGCTCGATAGAAAATTTCTAATCTACCTTGACTAAAAGCTGCTGAGAGAAAAATCTCTGCCGCATGGCATCTCCAGATATGGCCAAAAGGGACCTTAGCATCAACTGCAGTCTTCGGTGATATCTGTACTGGCAAACGGCAGCATTGTCGCAAGGCAAAGGCTCCATTGAATTCTGCATGAGATTAGGTATAATAAAATTTCTTTGATACGACAATGCATTTGTACCTGAGGACTGTCACCAGGCAAAATCTGAGTCAATAACCAGTACAAATGGTGGGCGATGCGCGGAGAAGTGAGAGACCGCTCCAAAAGAAAATGAGCCAAAGGGGAAGCTTCCCAGGTTTCATGCTTCAAGGCTTGCACTAGTTGCGGCAGGTAATCAACAAGCTGGTCACACTCAATGTAACGCACCCAGCTGAGAGCAACTCTACGCAACTCTGTGTCAGGGAAACTGAAAATACTCCTCAATTAGTCTCTTTGCTGCAATGTGGGGGTTTCTTTTACCAAGGCAGGAGAAGGGTCAAGGCACTTATGGGGTCCATTCGAGTCCACTTGTGCAGCATCGAATGCAACGCGGGCAGACTGTTGCAGTCCCAGCTCCGGGCAGCCAAGAGGACTTTAGGCAGGGCTTCGGGGTGATTGTGAAGGTAATGGCGTTTTTCCCACAGGATTTCTCTTTCCTGTGCTGGGGGACTGAAAAGTTTAATGATTAATTATTTTTTCTTATTAGTAAAAAATGTAAAGTAAAATTACTTAGTAAATGTATCCTGTTCGGCAATAACAAGGAGCTGCTCCTGTGTTCCCTCGTCTAAACTGTTAAAGTCCAAAATTGGGGTATCTTCGTCTGTGATGTTAATGGGGAATTGCACTTGGCTGCCCCAATCAGGAAGTTCTACTCCAAACACAGGATGGGTGTCACCCTGTGGATGTGTTCCAGCAGCCGGCGCCGGTCCCAGTCTCTTTCCTGCCTCCACAGGCCACAAGGAAAGAAGGAAACTTCCTTGTGCCAGTTGGCCTTCGCAACTAAACAACTGCAATGCCGTCCACCCAAGTTCGGACAGCTCAATCTTTGGCTCCTCGTCGTCCTTTTCTTGCGGCATCAGAGTTCTGCCGTAAAGACAGAGAACAACGCGGCTCTCTCGTGGTAGCATGTTGATGGGCAGGGAGGCTGCAATGAGGGGCACATCAAATATCACTCTGGGGTAGAGACCATTGGTCATGGCCACGGGATCAGAAAAATGTTCATGGCAGATGGGTCGAGGTCCGTGAAAGACTTGCATTGATACCTGAAATTAAAATAGTTAATTAAATGATAAAAAAGCACTATTGATTTTTTTCACTTGATAATCAAGATGCTGCCAGTTAAGGCCAAGACGGTGAAGGGCGCTGATATGAATGCAAAACTCATTGCTGAATTCAGTAATGGAGCGAACCGAGTTAGGCGCCTCCGATTTAGGTCTGAGTAGAAAAGCAACTCTGAAGGCGCCGCAGTAAGACTCAATCAAACTCTGCACGGCGTCCCTCAATCTCTCGGTGCTGGCGAGTACTCTGTCCTTGGCCTGACTCAAATCCACTTTCCTTCGCATCGACACAATGGAGTAGTCACTGTCGTCTTGCTCGATCTGAGGCTTCAACACTGATTTGTAGCCATTCAGATCGACGCTGGGTGAAAAAAGGAGGCAGGCTGAACTGAGAGAGTCAAGGGCCTCAGTCAACTTTAAAGTCTCGACTCTGCCCATCAGAGCGCAAATTGCCTTGATGGACTGCCAGACGCCTTTGAACTGCAGGGATGGCGTGTTGGTTGATGAAAGGTTCAAGGCTTTCTCCAACTTTTCCAGCTCGTTCTCTAGCGTTTCTATAGATTAAATTTTGATTTAGTTAGAATCACAAATAAGTTGAAAAATTTCAATATCAACAAATTAACTTGAGTAAAAATTTGTGATATAAATTTGTTTTATAAAACTACAACTAGAAATAAAAAATAAAAAATAAATCTCACGGTGGAAGTATTTAATTTAAAAGTTGCGTTAATCAAATTTGCCCAACTAAGAATTTATATATTGGCCCATCCCTTGTCTTGCAGCCGTAAACAAAATTGCAGCCTGTAGCATTAGAGCCAACAAATGCTCAAATCTATTTTATATTTGCAAAACATTAAGTTTTGCATGCAAAGTGCTTACCCAGCAATATAACAAGGGCATCATAGGTTATTGGCCTGACAGGCTCTGTAGGAAGGAGCTCCTCCAAAGTCAAGGTCATGTCGTTATTGTCGTCTTGCAGCTACAAGCAAAAACCATGTCAAAACCAAAACATTTCAAAACACAAAATACAAACAGTTCTGGCTAAAGGCCTGTTGACGTCATCCAGCCTGATCAAGGTCAACCTGACGTCCTGCTCTAGCTTGAAGCAATGATGGATGTGTTCGTAATCAGCCAGGGTGGAGTTTGACGTAAAATACTCAGCAAGACCGTTGACCTTGAGCACATACTCGTTGACGCTGCCCTTCAGATCACCGTCCAACTCACATACAATGTGCAAAATCACATGCTCGATTGTTGAGTTCACTGTAAAAATTTCATTTGTCATGGATCCTTTCCGAAATGATTTTAATAAAATTATACCATCGCATGTAAAGTTCATTGGCTCTCGATCCTTGTTACTGCTGACAATTAGTTTGATGCTTGTTCCAGGAGCGTACGAGTTATCGATTGTCGGGCTTATCACAAGTCCCACATTGGTGCATGGGTCATCATACTTGAATTCACCTTGAATTCATCATTAGAGTCATACAAAAGTGTGCATCTTTCAAGTTACCTCTGAGCTTTTTGACCATTGCATGATATGATCGTAAATTCTGGTCGTACAGTGCATCCTTTTTCTTCACCATCACTATAAGCTCGTTCAGTTTTGACTTGTGGTTCTGAAACATATAAAAGCAAATAATATAAACATGATTTCACAGTGATTGAAAAATTACCCTTAGTCTTATTACAGGTTTTCTTGTGGGCGACTCTCTCGGAGGCAGTGGAGGCGGCTCTGCTTTTGGACTTGATTCATTTGTATCCTCCTTTACTGGGGAACTTTTCTTCACAACTGTTGCGTAGACAGGCTCAACGTGGGATGCATTCATGAAGTCGAAAGGGTCGTAGACATCGTAAATGCTGGAGCATTGGCTGGCAACGTCGTCAGCCGCATCCGCAATGTCCTTCAGCAAAGGGTCAAAGGCCTCAAGAACGCTGATTCTGCTCGGAACAGCCAAGGCCAGCATGGAAGTGCCGGTGCTGAGGTCGATCAGGTTGTTGTTGTTCTGCTTTGTCAGCAGTTTCAACACGTCAAAGTTGAAGTTGGTTGGTGTGTCTGAAATTGCCAGCGGTCTTGAAAACCGCTCCTCAGAAGTGCGACGCAGGTGAACGCCCCTCGGAGGCACCGTTGGAGGCGGCAGTTGCGGAAAACTGACCGACTGCTCCAGGCTGACTCGGCTGGTTATGGTTTGCGAGTGGGACACAATGGTGAACTCGTCGACCAGGGCGTATTTTCTGTCGATTGGTGACGGACTGTTGAAGTTGATGAGATCACTGGAGGCGGATGATGCGCTGCTGTTTCGTCGAGAGGCGGCCGGGGGTGGTGCAATGATGGGCTCTCGGGGTGCCTTCGTGTTGAAGGAGCCCGGACGCGGCCTTGATTTGAACTCGAAGCGTTTTTCCCGGTCATTCTGAGGCTCTATTGTGCGAGCCACTAAAACATAAGAAGTAAAACAATATCAATTAAAATGTAATTAAATAAATAAGTTCTGAGTGATCAAAAAATTTGAAAATATGTATGAAATATTGGGTTAAAAAATATATAAATAAAAGTTATTTTGAAAAAAAAAATACTAAGTAAGATTATGCTATTTATATGCAAATTGGTTTTGATAAACTATCCTCAAACCGCCTCAAACATATATAGTACAATGAAAACAAATTAATTTGCCGACAATAAAATAAATTCATATTAATTCAAGATAAAGTTCAGCAAGGAAGAGGAAATTGGAACTTCCTGCTTACTTTAATAAATTACCTAGAAAAAAATTAATCAGGAGTGGCTTTTTTCAAGATAAACATAATAACACACAAAAAACTTTTAACAAGGCGCATATCAAAACAGGAAAAACTTTTTTTATATAATTAATTATTGAAAATATCCTTTTTCAGGCAAAAATTTCAACGGTCACCAATTTTATTTTATTTAAAATTTGAATAAATTGCATGAAAAAATCTTGATGTTAATTATATTTCAAATACTTTGCAGGAATTACAGGACAAGTCCTTTAATAAATTCATTTGATTGATTTATTATTTGTGGTGGAATTTCCAATCTCATAAAAAAAGAAAGAAATTTATACCATCCGTCCTGGTAGTTCTCTGGTCGAGCAGTTTTTTCTTTCTCTCGGCCTCAAGTTTCTCTTGTCTGAACTTCTCGAGAGCAAGACTCTCGAGGCTGAGAGCTCTGGCCCTCTCGAGATCCTCTTCGAATTGGCGCTCGGTCGACTGGGCCATGGCCTTGGGCGCTGCGAAATGTGCCATTGTCTGCCAGCAAAATGACATTGGTTATTTATTGGACTAAATGGAGGTTCGGTGCGACCCTCACCTGGGGTTTATTCAAACGCAGACGACGGTCCCCTGCTGCTCATCGCGGAAACGTCAAAAATGGTGTCAGCAGTGATCTCTTTTGGCCCCGCACCTGCTGACCATGGCTCGGTGGGCCGTGCGGCCTTGTCGACGACTCAAGGACGAAACCGGAAATGCGTTCCAACGGCACCCGCGCCGATCGATGGTCATCAGCGTTCAGACAATCAGAATAATTATCGGCCTCACCCCACACGAACAATAACGGAGACGGCCAAGTTGCTGCAACAGATGAGTCGCGATGTCATTGTCAGTTATTTGTCTGTCCGTCAGGGGGCAGCTCGGTCACGACCCTTTCCTGAAAGGGTGCTCTACGGCGCATGCGTACCAACAGCACACGTGGGATGGGACTTGGGATGGGATCCGAAATCCGAATTACAGAAACAAAACAAACATTGCATGAAGCCAGCAGTGAAAATTTAAGTTGATTAACAAACTTTGATCACCATATATGATATGGAAATATAAATTATAAATAGTGGCCTTTTGTATGACTGCATTAATTTCTAGCCATGTATTAAATAATATGTAATTTCATTGATTTTTTTTCATAGAAAAATGACAGAAGGAACGGAGAAAGCAACTTTGCGGGCCCTGAAGAAGATGGGCGTTAAAACAGGGCCGGTTGACCTGAAAGACTGGGAGCTTTATCGTCAGGGTGCAGAGGCCCGCGTTTACAAGGGTTCCTACGATGGAAGGCCGTCCATCGCAAAGCTAAGATTTCCCAAGGGCTACAGGCACCCCGTCCTCAATTCTATGCTGTCCTCACAAAGACTGCGGAGCGAAGTGAAAAGAAACCTCAAATGTCGAACAGAAGGTACTTCCTCTATTAAGTTAATTTTCATCTATTTATTTAATAATCAATTAATGTAAACCTTTTTTAGGGATTCTTGCTCCAGAAATCTTGCTTGTTGATGTGGTCCAGTGCACAATAGTCATGGAAGAAATCGGCAATGGTCGTACATTGAAGCAAAAAATCAAAGAGCTTGAAGACGACAGCAATCCTGAGGACGACCTCAAGCAAATTTCCAGCAATCTTGGCTACTTAATAGGTACATATTGTTTCATAGAAATCATGAACGTATGATTTTAAAATTAATATTTAAGGACGGCTGCATGGAGCTGGAATGGTTCATGGTGACCTGACTACGTCCAATGTCCTGCTGAACCAAAATGGGGAGATGGTCTTGATTGATTTTGGGCTTGGAGGCGGTGAAGCCAGCGCGGAGGACAAGGCTGTTGACATTTACGTGCTGGAAAGAGCACTCTCAGCTACACACCCTAACATGGAGAATTATATTTCCCTGATCGTTGAATCCTACATCAAAGTAATTTTTTTGAATCACTTACAATAACCAATTATGAACCTGGTGCAATTCTTAGAATACTACAAAAGCGGAGGAAGTGGTTAAAAAACTAGAGGACGTACGACTTCGAGGGAGAAAGAGGAGTATGGTTGGTTGATACTGCGAATAAATTTAAAATCAATTGTCATCTCAAAAAGCTTGTTTGATTCTGTGAGATTCTGAACAGCCATTTTAAATTGTATCATTTCTTGAAGAAATTGTTTTGCACGACGTAATGCACACACTGCAGCAAAATGTTCCTCTCGCGTCTGATTTCGGGCTCCAAGAGTTTTTGAAGCAAAGTTGGTGGTCTGTTTCTTTTCATAAACTGTTCCCTGGGATCAACTGGTGGCCGCAAAGGTTTTGACTCGGCCTTAACTTGCTTCACAGTCCTTTCAGTCTCGGTAACAAGTGGAGTCGGCACGGCAGGGCCAATTAATTCTCGGCTAAAAAAAGTAAATTCACCAAGATAAACAATGTGGAAAAGGTAAATTTTATGATTTTTATTGTACCTTACTGGAACCTCCTCTGGAGGTGAATCGGAATCACTGTCGTCAGATTTGTATTGGCCTACGAGGCTTGTAAGTGGGTTTATCACAGTCTGGACCTAATGTTTTTAATAATTGTATTTGAATATTTAAAATTAATTATCTTCTACCGTGGGGGCAAGCTGGACTGAACTTATCTCCGGAAGATTCTTATTGTTTGAGCAAGGAGCAAGTTCCGGTTCCGGTACATTCGGCTTTAGCGTCTCATTCACGACAGGGTCATGAGATATTGTGTTTGGGCTGTGCTTTTGGTAAGGTTGTTGACGTCCATTCTTGCGCCAGCCACCACCACGGCCTCTGGATCCAAATCTCGACTTAGGTTCAAAGAGTTTTTCTCCTCGAGCTGTAAAAAAAATTGAATATTAATTGAATCAAATTATATTAAAATAAGATTAAATACAAACCAATTTTTTCCTCTTGTTCTTGCACCTTTTTAATTATATTGTCTTTAGTTGGGTACCGATTTTTCCTCGCCTCTATCCACTGGTCGGCCTCTTTTTTCATGCGAGCGTAGAGACCAGTTGTGTGCTGCATTTCGATGTGTTTGGCAACAACCTGAAGAATTAAAGAATATTTAATAATTTTTTTCGATTAAAATTATCGTTTACCTTTGGGTGAGCAGTAAAGGTGCAACCTTCTTGTCCACAAACTTGATGTTGGGAAATGTGCTCCGAGAGCTCCTCAGGGCTGGCAAAGTCCCTGTCGCAGGTATCACAGGTTAGCTTTTTTACTTTCGGCGCCTGGCGACTGCCAACTGGATGGGTGTAATTACTGTAATTATTGTTGAAATTTGGCAGTTTCCTGCTCCAACCTCGACCTCTTTGACTTCCTCTTCCTCTGCCCCTGCCTGTTTAAAAATTCAAAAATTAAAACATCAAAAGCGGCCATAACTCGAGAGTATATAAAAATATGATCCATTATTTTCATAATCATACCTGGATTGGCGGGGACATAAAACTGTCCAGGCGGAAGGAGGAACGGCTGGACATTTCGCTCGTGATGAATATTTTGCGGAGGCGGAGGTGGAGGAACCGTTCGCAAGAACGGAAAGGACATTGTGCTTCCAGAAATCGACGGATCGAGCACGTGGTGCTATTCGATTCAAAATAAAACTTGACAGATACACTGTTGGTGGGAATTAAGTTCTCTTCCCTCTAAAAATTGATTCTTTTTGGTGAATATAATGTCAAAACTTAAGACGATCCGACAGATGATACATTCGCCGAGCTATCGGTCAAATTCTAAATCGCAGGAGCCCTCTTTGGGACGATCAAAAATCAAAACAACAGAGAAGATTAAAGATGTGCGATTTATCTCTGATGGGGGATGGGGGCGATGGTGAGCGGCGGCCAAGTGAATGCGCCTGCGCAGCCTTCAATTTGTGGCCAGAAGCGCGCCAAAGACAAAAGCGGAATTCCAGGACCCCTCTGGCTTGCGCTCTTTATTGATTAGGCCAAATTTTCTTATAAACAAAAGAGTTTGTTAACCGCAGTGTAGGAAGAGTAGGAAGACATTGGAAGTTGCTGTGCAGCGAATTACTTACAGCAACATTTCGCCTTCGGTGATCAGAACTCAGCACTTGTCAGTTTACAAGCTAATTTATTAAAAGGTTTATTATAATATGTAAGTTTTTGCTTGAGCATAATTATGTATAAATTTGTACAAATTATTATATTTTTCAGTTTCAAAACTTTTTCTGTGCTTCTAAAAGCTGTTTTAAATATTAATTTTCATAGAGTTAATAAATTTATTTGGTTTCTAAATTTTACATTTTTTTTTTCATGGTTTTTTGCAAACAATTAATATTTTGTGGTTAAAAAAATGGAACATTGATTTTAATTTACCTCAAATTTCACATATACCTATCTTTAATTTAAATAATAATTTCATCAAATAATTTAATTAATCAACAAATTTGTATTTTTTTAAGGTTGAATAAATCGCATTTTTTAGGATAAGATAAAATGTCGATAAGTGGAAGATGCAGATTTGTGGTTGGCACGTTGGACGGCAAACGGGTGTCGTACATCATCGACGAGCCCGTTCAACAAAATCGCCCTCTGTCTTCGAGCAAAGCGCAATCCAAGCCGTCTAGCGAATTCTTCTCAAGTAACAGGCCTGCTTCTACTTCAGCCTCGTCTGTCCATCACGAGGAAGAGGACGACGAGGCAAAAATAAACGCCTCTGTGGTGCTCAGCAACCAGCAACTGGACGATCTGATGGACATCCTACACCACGGTAATAAATTTTCCAACTCAAAATGCATGCGTTTCATAGAAGTTATTTTTTTACTAAAGCGGCGGGTGCGCGGTATTTTTTGATATGATAAAAAATGGCTCTTTATCTGTGATGTGTAACATGAAAGTGGGCGCGATATAGTTATAGAAAAATACTGTAGGCATATACAAACCTAGGCGGATCGTAATGAGATGGTAAACGGCGATACGGTGCCTTTATATCGATTGCATTGCATGTTTTGCGGTCACTAAGGCAACTGAGCTTGGTGGAAAAAACAAAAATTTGAATTATCGATCAATCGCAGGCTCAGTTGTCCAAGCGCACATTTCCATATTTATATCGAGTCACTCGAGACCAGCTGAATTAATTTACATTTATTTGCAAAAAACCCTTGCAGTCAACGATCAGCAGCAGAACAAACAAGCGTGGTCCGAGGACGAACAGTATGTGAAAGAATGTCAGTCGGCGGTGCACGAGGAGCCCACAAAGGACTCGAGTGATCATGAGTCGAGCAGAGATTCCGGATACTTTGGCACAGGTGTAATGAGCGGCAGGCCAAGCTTGATTGAGCTCAAAAAACAACAATGGGCGAAAGAGAAAGGTAAAAATTAATTAACCCGAAAAATTAGTTCGTCAAATTTTTTAACATTTTTTTTTGCAAAAGTTGAAATGCAGGGCCTTTTATCACCATGGGGCCAAGCCGAGTCTCCGAAAACTAGCAGTTACCAAGATGCTTATTCACTGCAACTGCAGCCAGAAAATGGAGTAGACAAAACCATTCCTATCATCACTTATAACAATAAAGAGAAGGTATTTAAAATTTATTTTAAATAAATATTAAGCTAAATTTAACTTGACAGGAGTACTTTGATAGTAACTACCCCAGTGACATGTCATACTCTCACACACCGGCCAGCAGAATGAGCAGGTTTGTTTCTAAAAAAAAAAAAATTGTAAAAAAATTTAAACCTATTATTTCCTTTTCTGGAAGGAGTCCTGCTAATCACGATGGCCGTTCAATTAGAGTCAACGGTGGAGGTGACGAGGGCCGTTTGAAGTGGGGCGACAGGGGTGTTGCCGTCGGCCACTTGTGGGAACCGTCGACGTCACCCTCGCGACTACCCGAGCCTCAGCGATCCAGCCCAGCGTGGCTCGAGAAAAGTCTGGGCCACAATGCAGGGGACGTGGAAAACGTAATCCACAGCCGCAAGGTTTACATCGACGCGAGTGAAATGGAGGAGAGAGAGTTAAAAAGGAAAAAAGCTCTTGAGAACCAACAATGCATCAGACAACAGGTGCAATAATTTACCATATTTAGATGATTTGCAAAATTTTTATAAATGATTTAGCTCGAAGAACGCGATCGGCAAAGGAAAGAAGAGCGAGAGAAGAGAATTCTTGAAGAAAAAGTAGAAGAAGAAAGGATTAGAAAGGAAAATGCAATAATTGAGGAGAGGTACCGACAAGAGAGGAACAGAGAGAAAAAGGTTGGGAAGGTCATCATTACAAAAAATATGTTAATTTAAATAATTTTTTAAAGAAGGGCGAGGAGGAAAATAAAGAGCACGAAAAGCAGCAGCATCCTGGAAGAAGCACTAAACAAAGCAAGGGCTGGAATAAGAAGGAAGCATCTCCACGGTCAAGGAACAGGCAGCGCCGAGAGACTGAAAGTAATTAATTTTTTTTAAATTTATCTTTCCAAACAAATTTAAATTTTACCAATTCCTTTCACAAAAAAGCTTACGCGCAGTTGCAAAGGAGAAGCCAAATATGTCAGTCTTTTATTAATATAGAAATTAAATCATTCCATATTTTTCTAATAAAAATTTAACAGTTCCTAGTCACGAGCCGGAAATCTTGACCTTGCACCACCCAGCTGAGGAAAGCAACACTGCAGTTCAGAATTTTTCCATCAACGAAGAATACAAAAGAGTGCACCAAGATTATGGAGCCAAACCTATCAATATTCCAAGTAAGCCTGAAAATAATCCAATGTGTTTTTTATTCTTTAATAAAAAAAATAAATAAATAACAGTAAAAATAGAAGGAGGCGACGATGAGATGATTTTGCTTGGCAAGGAAGTTGCCGTTTTGCTTGCTCCAGAATTAGAGCGGCGCATTCTAATGAGCCGATCAGGTCGTGATGTTGCGACCCAGACTGACATCTCGCAAGTACGTACACGCATTTTCCATCATCAGCTTCAATAATTTAACTTTTGTTTGGTCAACTCGCTATCAAAGCAGGTATTTACCCGCCATAACAAAAAGCAACCCCAGCAGCAGTTAATGCTTTCAAATCAACCGCGTCCAATTTGGGGCGCAAATAGAACAGATAAAAAGTACATGAAGCAGAGTGACAAGGACATCTACAGGATAAGGTGCAGCAGTTTAAATTCAAGGTCAAAGGTGACCACAGACAGCACTGATGAATCCGATAAGTATCCAAGGTGAGGAAAATTTAAATATTCCTGCTGAACGCGCATTGAAAATAAATTATTATGAAAAAGGTCATCGTCACCACCCCAGCTGGATAGAAGAAAAAGAGCTCAGTCCTTGGGCAAAAATAAAAACAGCAATAATCTTCAGAGGTCAAGCGAGGATGACTCGGCGTACTACGAAGGTCGCAGGCCCAGAAGGGAAATGTGGCAAGAGAGAAATAATGTCAAAGTCCCTGCCCCTCTCTCTTGGCATGTCGACATCAACGATGCACCCCCTCATCAGCCAAAACGCGCACCAGCAAGAAGAATCACTGCAAACTCACCTCCTGTGCCTACTCTGCAAACAAAGGTAAATAAAAATGAGCCAAGAATAAAATACAAATAAAAAAACTGACGAAAATTTTTTAAGACTAAACCGGCGCCAGAAGAGAGACAAAAATCACCAAGTCCCCGGCCAACTCCTGTCGCCTGTCCGCCTTCACCACCAGTGCCTGCTGTGCTCAGACAACTCCAAGAACAGGTTCTACCACCTTTGAATCACGAAATCAAAGTCCTCAGGTCTGCACCGCCAGTGCTCAAGTCACTTCCTTTACAGAGGGACGAAGATGACAAAGTGGCCCTTCCAGAAATAAAACAAAACTTGATCAACTTGCCTAGCGATTCTTCAGATTTGCTCTCACAACTCTCCACAATTAGAAGGGTAATACTGGAAAAGAGCAATATTTTTAACATTAAAATTGACTTAATTCTTTTCTAGAACTTGCAGAATAAGCATAGCGAGTGGCAAGCGCTAACCGATGAAGCCGAATGAACGAAATTTAAATACTGAACAAATCTTCTAAACTCACGACCAATATTTTGCAATGTTTAAAAAAATTTAAAAGTTTTAATAATAAATGACGATTCCCTTTGGAAATTTTACTTTTTGGCATGTCTTTTAAAATGCACAAAAATGGCTCTTTATCTTACATACACATCACAACCATCTTCCATCATTGGCTAATTGATACCATTGGAGCTGCAGACACAATTAAATTTTTTTAATTTTATAGGGATGAAAGATGGCAGCTTTAGCGTTAGATGACTTGATAGACAAGAAGAAGGAACCACCACCAATTTTAGATTTGAGTCAGAGCGTAGTTTCTTCAAGGGAAGAGCTGGAACAGTTGCTTGCTCGGGTTCCAGAATACAAAATTCGACCCGAAAAGGTTGGATTGTTTGCAATTTAAAATAATTATAGATTTTTTACATAAAATCTTAATGCCATTTTATAAAAACTAAAAATTTGCAGGTAAAACCTGAGGAGTTAAGGATAAGAGACAAAGACTTTACTTTCAAAGCTCCAAAATCAAAAAGTGCGAAGCCGTCACAAGAATTTAAGTAACTTGTCATAAAATTTTAAAATCAACCTGTATATAAGAATATCCACTGCAGCTATTGCAACCCTGTGCCTCCATGCATGCAGGGCGTTAGACTGGACGATCTTTGCCAGGTGGAAATAAACTGGAAAATGTTGACGACTATCCGGCCCAAGTCAAAAATGGACGAGGAACTTTTCTCAAGGTTTTTTTTTGTAATAATGAAAGTTTCACTTTGAAAAAATGTTACCTTAGACTAGTCGAGTTGGGAAAATTAGATATTCTAAGAGCCCAACAGGACACAAAAGCTGGCCCAAGCAGCAGTGGGGTAAAGAAGTCCAAGAACCGAGCTGGAATTCTTGAAACAAGAGCTCAAACTTGCACCGAGTGCTGCGTTGAATTCTGTAGCGGAGCAAGTTGTAAAGAATTTACCTACGATAGCTTTGCTAGGGTAAAAGATTTATAATTAATTGTCTTGCAAAATCAATAAAAAAATCTATCAGGTTGAAGTTGACCTTTACGAAGGTAAAAGAGAAGGGTCAGCTCCAAATGAGAGGCGGCCTAAAAAGAAGAAAGGCAAGAAAAAAGGGAAAGGGGGTCGAAAGCGCTCCAGGTCCAAATCGAAGAAAAAGAAAGGAGGTAATAAGACCGATGATGACGAGAAAGCACCTGCTGACGGAGAAGCTGAAAATAATTTAACCGTCGATAATCTTACGATTCAAACAAAAGTGCCTTTGAATTTGTAACAATTTGATTATTAACCAGAACTTGTACAACAGGAAAGCACTACCTGCGAGTTTTAATTTCCACCCTCCTCAGATTCTTCAGTCTCCTCATCACTGTCACTTCCATCGGGGTTGTAATCAGAATCTGCAGCAAATTCGATAGTAAGATTTTTTTAATGAAAAAGGGCTGATCCTTACCACCCTCTTCGTCATCATCATCATCGTATTTGGGAGCAGAATAGCCTGAGTAATAGGCGCCACCACCTTCGTAATCATCGTCATCATCATCCCTGGCACCACCTTGTCTGCCAAACTTGTGCGACCGGGCTAGTTGAAAAAGAAAATTATAGACTGGATTTTGCAAACTTATCTTAAGATTAGACAACTCACTGCTCATGCTGAGGTCCTTTGTCTCTTGGGTGTCGTAGTTGCACTTCGGACAAGGAACTGCTTTGCCTCTTTCGTACTTAAATCCTTTGCGTTTGACATGGTCATCGCAGAAACAAACCTTGCAACGCAAACAAGAGTATTGCCCGAGTCGATTGCACGACTGGCACTTGTAGCTCTCAGCTTCCAAGACCTTAAGTAAATATTTTTTTTACTATTTTGCTTATTTAATTCTGAAGGCTCTGTTGTACCTGGCAAGAGGCTTGGTGCTCAAATTGGTCATCCTCGCAGAGAAAGTTGTCGCAGAAAGAGCATCGGTAAACCCTGCCTCCGTGGGCCCACACGCCTCGCTCGCACTCGTTGCAAACGGCGTCGATCAAAGGACACTCGCAGCCATGCACTTGCAGGCATTTCCGTCCATGGCAAATCCAAGCCTCGCAGTGGTCGCAAATTGCACCCTTTAAAACAATTATTAATCTTTGTGCGCAATTTTTATTACTAAATACTAACCACCATGCCCAGACCTGTGGTAAACACTCCAGCGTGTTTGACGACACAATCTCCAGTTTTCAACATGCACTTCACTTTTCCGCAGTGGCCGCAAACTGGAAGACGCTGCAGACTTTGGCAGAAATAGCAGAAGGCGCGATTCTTTTGTTTTCTGAAATTATTTCGGATTTATGTAAATTATGGATTTTACCTCTGCTTTATTGGTGCAAGAGATAGCTCGAGAATCAGTAATAATAATTTGTCTTAATTTTTATTTACCTTCCACAGTGGTCGCATTCCATAGCCTGATTGCAGGCAAACTCGGCCACAGACCTCGAATCTTTGGAAGAGCGAATTTCTTTTTGCCTTAATTTCTGCTTCTCCGCCTTCTTGCGCTGTCCAGTCTTCTTTTTCGGCATCTCAGTTAACAATCAGACGCCTTCGGGTTTATCTCAAAAGATATTCTAATTTTACGCGTACGGAATGATTTGGACAAAGAAATGTAAAAAATAATAAACACACAACAAGACGGCGTGGCGAGAATTGAATTGACGGCCAACAGCTGATTCAAAGGGCGGCCATTGGCGGCCATCGCGCTGCGCTGAATTTTGAGCCAAAAAAGCGCCAAAGTCGCGACGAACTTTGTCGCTTCAAATGAATGAAATGCCTTGAAGGGCGCACTGACAAAATTGGGTAGGGCCGACAGACGGCCACGCACATAAGCGAAATAAGCATGCAACGGCTCAATATTGGAAATATTGGGCCTACTATTATAAAATGGAGGCTCAATATTGGGCCTACTATTCAAATTGCAGGATTAATTTTGGGCCTGCTATTTGAAATTTTAATAGGCTCAATATTGGAAGAAAAAAAAATGTTCTCCGGAGAAAGGTTCCCAGCTGGAAAAGCTTGTCCAGAAAAAAATTGTAGAAAAAGCATATTGATCCAGTGTGAAAAACATCTATGGAAAAAATCCCAGTTAGTAAAATTTTGTTTGTAAAATTCTCATCTTTTCTCTCAATTGCATTGAATTTGTATAATTTTGATTGTATAAATGATGAATCCCGTTATGGGCGCAGCAATTGCCTTTGTGGTATATCAATAAACACAATTTGCAACTAGTAAATCGTCCCCGTTGAATCTCGGTAGGAAAAAGCTTCTCCAGCTGGAAAAACTTAACCGGAAAAAGATACTTCTAGGAAAAGCTTCTCCGTGAGGAAAAGCTTCTTCAGTGGGAAACGCTTCTCCGGAAAAAGATTCCCCAGTCGGAAAAAAGCTCCTTAGAAAGCTTCTCAAGTACGGAAAACTTATCCAGGAAAAAGCTTCCCAGCTGGAAAAGCAAAAAAGCATCTCTGTAATGAAGATGCTTCCAGGAAAAGCTTTTCCGGAAAAAGGCTACCCCAGCCGGACAAGCATCCACGGAAAAAATCTCGTAGGAAAAGCTTCTCCAGCTGGAAAAAAAATCTGGAGAAAGATGCTCTGCCAAGCTGGTATTACAAATTTGGTTTATTGTAAACCAAACATTAGAAGATTACAAGTCAGGGGTCATAAGATTATACTGACTGATTTTTTAATTGTTTAATGATTTAGATTGTTTAAATTATTTCTATTGATATTTGTTTAATAATTTATATTGTTTGGGGTATTTTGTTTACACAAATTGGGTCAGCTTACACACGGGCGTTATTTTATTTTAAACAATTCTGGCAGAATGGTTGGAAATTCAATGACTCGAAATTGTTCGTTTAAAGTCACTTAAAAATCAACAAATGGGAGCGGTGTTCTCTGGGTAGGCCTGCTGGCTGCCCTGGAAATGTCCTTGCTGGGAACATGAGGGATTTGGATTTTGCTGGTGGTGCGAGGTGTGGTGGGGGAGCGGCAGGGTGTGGGTGAGCAGCTGGCTGGTGGGCTGCATGGGCAGGGTGCTGTAGCCAGGGCCGAGGCCGACAACGCCCCTGTTTTGCTCGATGCTCCGTCTCGGGTGGCCCATGGGGAAGTTTGGGGCGTAGTGGCTGGGCACCTGGGGCGGCGCCACCGCCGGGGGCGTCCTGTACTCGCGCGAACCCTTGCTCAGGGTGCCCATGTTGCGGATGGCCTGAGGAGGCGTCAGCGGCTAGGTGGTGGGCGGTGGGCCGACGGTCTGGCCCTGGATGGCCGAGGTGACGATGGCGCCCTGGCTGGAGCCGCATTTCGAGCGAGGGGTGCCACCCTGAGCGATCGCCGTCGCCTGTTGACTGTGCGACATTGCGGGCGAGTGAACCCCGTGGCCCAGGTTGTCCAGGACGTTGTAGTCGATGGGCCGACAGACATACTTGATCGGCTTCTCAGGATTGGCCGGGGCGATTATCTTGAACTGGCGGTTTGTTGTCTTGCTGGCCGTGAGCACTCCTATTTCTCATCGTGTGCCATTTTTCTTTGTGAATCATCTCCGTCTACAAAAATGAGGGATAAATTAGCAATTTTCACAGTTTCTTTATCGCATTTAAAATAATTTATTTGCAAGCTCTGCTCCAAATAATTGGGAAGTATTGCTGAGCAATACTTAAGTGAAGATAAAATTAGTGTTGAAAAAATAAAAAATAAAAATTAGTTCTGGAAGTTTAAAACTGTATAAGTTAAATTAAAATATTTTTAATTTAATCTACCTCCTTACCAAAATTATTATAAAATTAAATTTGTAAAAATATTTTTAAACCCAATTGTCAATATTAAAATAAAAAAATATGCATTATGTAAAGAGAAAGAAATTGAACCTTTAGGAATGTTTTAGAAAAATATGAATATTTGATGAAAACACTTAGTTAAAAAATTAAAGTAACGACTTATATTTTATAAAAATATTGCCAATAATCTTCTTGTTAAAAAAATATTTGGTAAAAGGATTTTACTTCAAATAATTTTGGAGATAAAATTATCGAAATGAAGAGATCGGGCTTTTCCTCGTTGCAGAAAAATTGTTTTTATTCAAAAACAAATGGCTCTAACCAGTTTCGCTGACTAATTAGTCAGCGAGCAGCGCGTTTGCTCATGAAATAGGGTCGCAGACCGTGACCGAAACTGGTAGAGCCATTTGTTTTTGAATAAAAACAATTTTTCTGCAACGAGGAAAAGCCCGATCTCTTCATTTCCATGATCATCTCCTCGAGTGTCAACTTCTTCAAACAAAGATAAAATTATCATTTGATGAAATCATAAAATAAATATATGTCAAACTTTTTATAAAAATATTTCCAACATTAATCGTCTTTTTTTTAAAAAAAAATTTTTGTTAGTTTAATTTTAATAATTATTATAACTGTCAAAAATCTTATTGAAATGCAAAAAAATAAAAAAATTGGATGGCTTCCATCTTAACGAAGAAAAATTGATAAACACTCGATCAACTGATTTCATTTCTTGCAGGGACGGCTTTTCCTGTCGCTCTATGGGAAAGATCCATCGCTCTCTTATTTCGCTTACGTTGCTAAACTAGCAAAATTAGCAAATTTAGCAATCGCTTATTTTGCTTACGTTGCTAATTTAGCAAAATTAGACAATTTAGCAATTGCTTATTTTGCTTACGTTGCTAATTTAGCAAAATTAGCAAACTTAGCGAAATTAGCAAACTTAGCAATTGCTTATTGCCATGGCTCCTGGGGAAAGAGCCGTGGCTCCTGGGGAAAGAGCCGTGGCTCCTCGGGAGCCGGCGCTCCTGAGGAGCCGGCGCTCCTGGGGAATGAGCCGTGGCTCCTGGGGAAAGAGCCGTGGCTCCTGGGGAAAGAGCCGTGGCTCCTGGGGAAAGAGCCGTGGCTCCTCGGGAGCCGGCGCTCCTGAGGAGCCGGGGCTCCTGAGGAGCCGGCGCTCCTGGGGAAAGAGCCGTGGCTCTTACGGAAAGAGCCGTGGCTCCTGGGGAAAGAGCCGTGGCTCCTGGGGAAAGAGCCGTGGCTCCTGGGGAGCCGGCGCTCCTGAGGAGCCGGCGCTCCTGAGGAGCCGGGGCTCCTGAGGAGCCGGCGCTCCTGAGGTGCCGGCGCTCCTGAGGAGCCGGCGCTCCTGAGGAGCCGGGGCTCCTGAAGAGCCGGCGCTCCTGAGGAGCCGGCGCTCCTGAGGAGCCGGCGCTCCTGAGGAGCCGGCGCTCCTGAGGAGCCGGGGCTCCTGAGGAGCCGGCGCTCCTGGGGAATGAGCCGTGGCTCCTGGGGAAAGAGCCGTGGCTCCTGGGGAAAGAGCCGTGGCTCTTACGGAAAGAGCCGTGGCTCCTGGGGAAAGAGCCGTGGCTCCTACGGAAAGAGCCATCGCTCTATGGGAAAGAGCCATCGCTCCTTGTTCGGCACATCTCAAATAAATAAATCTAACAAGTTCTAAATATATACTACTACTAATTTGCATATTACTTTTTCTGTTAATAAATTGTGGAATATTTATCATTTTGATGCTTATGTTCTTACGATTTTATTATAAATATTGCTTGCAAACGTGCAGAGAAAATATAAATTTAAGAAACAGGAGAGGGAAATGTTGACGGTCTTTCATACAAATGCACCATTCAAATTAAAATTAATAGCATAGCATGAGAGGAAATTCGCTACATTTATACTTTTGAATATAAATAATGATTTGATAATAATCGGGGTTTGGGCTAAAATTGTGTTCGGCCTTTTCATACATTTATTACCTTTCATCCTTGTAATTCTTTGGCACCCATCCGGGCAGTCCCGCGTCTTCGCAGGCACAAATCCCATCGAGCTGCATCCGTAGCCGTACGAAGGGGGCAGCTGCTGCGAATCAGGCATTGGAGGCGGCGGCAGTGGCGGCGAGCCCTGGCCACCCCTCACCATATGCAGATGGTGAGTCAGGTCATCCGCACCACCTCCCTGGTGCACCAAAGGAGATGTCGGAGCTGCGCAATCAAATGATAAAATTAGTCTTCCAGCTGCAGGAAATTTAGTAAAAAAAACTGACGAGGCATGCTCATGTGAGAGTGTCGAGCGGGAATAATGTGCTGGGCAGCGGACCTCCTGATGTTGGGAGCGGAGGTGGAGGCGGGAGGCGGCGTTTGCGGGTGGTTTTGGTTGTGAGACTGGTTCCCGTAGTTGATTGGATGCACCATACCGATCTGGATAAAAAAAAAATAGTAACAAGATTAATAATGGTTTGATGATGTTGGTTCAAAATATTAAAATATAAATAAATAAATATAAAAAAATTACAGACACTTCATTGAACACCAACTCGAGTGACTTATGATGTGTTGGTCAATTCATATGAAATAACATTAAACTAAAGATCATTTGTTTTCAACATCAGAAATTAAAATAAATAATGTTGATTATAACTTTATTTAAAAATCTTATTTGTTGCAATTATCTTGACATAATTTTAAAGTCAAAGTATTTTTTATGAAATTTTAGAATTTAATCAAGTCAGGAAAATTTTAATTGCTATTGAGAAAAAACCTTACTAAGGTTAGAAAAGGACTTTCTCACCAACTTTTTTTGACGAAAATTTTATATAGTAGAGATTAAAGATTAAAAACCAATTCCTCACCTGAGGGGGTCCTGGGGCCGACATACATGAGGGCCGGATTTGGATTTTGCTGGTGGTGCGAGGTGTGGTGGGGGTGCGGCAGGCCGTGTGGGTGAGCAGCTGGCTGGTGGGCTGCATGGGCCGGGTGCTGTAGCCAGGGCCGAGGCCGACAACGCCCCTGTTTTGCTCGATGCTGCGTCTCGGGTGGCCCATGGGGAAGTTTGGGGCGTAGTGGCTGGGCACCTGGGGCGGCGCCACCGCCGGGGGCGTCCTGTTCTCGCGCGAACCCTTGCTCAGGGTGCCCATGTTGCGGATTATCTTGAACTGGCGGTTTGTTGTCTTGCTGGCCGTGAGCACTCCTATTTCTCGTCGTGTGCCACTTTTTCATCACCGTCTACAAAAATAAGGGAAAAATTAGCAATTTTCACAGTTTCTTTAGCACATTTAAAAAAATTTATTTGCAAGCTCTGCTCCGAAAAATTGGGAAGTATTGCTGTATAGTGATCGAAGATAAAATTAGTGTTGAAAAAATAAATAATAAAAATTAGTTCTGGAAGTTTAAAACTGTATAAGTTAAATTAAAATATTTTTAATTTAATCTACCTCCTTACCAAAATTATTATAAAATTAAATTCGTAAAAATATTTTTTAAACCCAATTGTCAATATTAAAATAAAAAAAATATGCATATGTAAAGAGAAAGAAATTGAACCATTAGGAATTTTTGAGAAAAATATGATTATTTGATGAAAACACTAAAAAATTAAAGTAACGACTTATATTCTATAAAAATATTGTTTGCCATGGTCTCGAACGACCTCATATTTTTACATTGCAATTATTTAGGAGCAACGGTTGCCCCTCAGTCTCAGACTACCTCGGACGGTCTTGAACGACCTCGGACTGTCTCAAGTATATTTATGTTTATGATCGAAAAACGGAAAAAATAATTAAATTATACGAAAAATGTATATTATTCATTTGTGAATGCATAATCTATATTTTTAACCCAAATTGAATTCCACCTTTATTTTTAATTTGTTTTAAATATAATAATCTTCTAAAAAACACTTGCTGACCCCGAATAATTTTTTGTGGCCTTATTTATAGTGATTTAAGTTGCTCTGCTTATTTAACATTAATTTTCTAATCAAATTGAAAATTTTTTAATGTAGGAAATTACGTTACATAAATACCTGCATGCATTGAAAATGAAATTTATTATTATTTTCTCACAAAAAATTAAACTTTAATCACTCAATAAGTAAGGCCACAAAAAATTATTCAGGGTCATCAAGTTTTTTTTTTAGAACAGATTATTTTATTTAACAAGAATTAAAAAGAAAGGTGGAATTCAATTTGAATTAAAAATATAGTTAATGCATTCGCAAATACAAATAGTTTTCGTCTAATTAAATTATTTATTCCGTTTTCTTATCACAACCATTAATAATACTTGGGACAGTCCGAGGTCGCTCGAGACCGTCCGAGGTCGTTCCGAGACCGCTTGAGACCATTCGAGGCCGTTGGATATCCCAAGACCGTTCGAGACCGTCCGAGGTCGCCTTCGAGGTCGTTTGAGACCATGGTCGCTTGGGTTGCTAAACTAGCAAAACAAGCAAATTTAGCAATCGCTTATTTTGCTTACGTTGCTAATTTAGCAAAATTAGCAAATTTAGCAATTGCTTATTTCTCTTAGGTTGCTAAACTAGCGAAATTAGCAAATTTAGCAATTGTTTATTTTAAAAAGTAAATTATGGCAAAACAATATTAAAGTAATATTGAGTCTAATTTTAAAATGAAAATAATATTAATTATAATTACTTGCATGGGACCATGGGACGGGGATTGCCATAACACGGTGTCCTTAATATGATTTATATAATTAAATTTTAACGAGTAAAAGTCAACAATATTCATATAAAAATGTTTTTATCGTACCAAAAATGTTGAATTAGATTTTAATTCAATTCAAATGATGTCTCATTTACTGTTCGTCACATTTTCCCCCCTCACTTCTCTTCAAAGCGTGGAGCGAGAGTGCTGAAGCTACGTTACGTTTATAATTTAAAAATATAATAGTTTAAGCTTTATAGAAACCATTTTATTAGAAAAAAGTCAACATATGAGCCTTTGAAATTAAAATAAAGCTTTTCTTTTATAATAAATACTCTGTTGTTGCAGTTACTGGCCAAGATATGCTAGTTTATTTGAGAGTTGTGTTGTTAAAAGAATTATTAAAATTATTTTAATATACAACTGAACTGCGCCTCTTTAATTAATTCTCTAATAATCGGATTATTCGATGGAATTAGTTAATTAATTTTCCTTTGGGATTTATTTTACTCACAATTAAGGGCCATAAGTATGCCCAATAGAATACTTCATTTTAATCCTATTGTGCATAGTTACTTTGAATTTTGTCTTCTTATTTAACGCAACGAATTAACCTTTTATTATTTCGCGGCGCTCCGCGCCTGCTCGACAAAGTTAGCTGTTATTTATTTTTCACTGATGGCTATAGCTGCAAGCTTAAAAAAGTTTGTCTTAAAAATAATGAAAATCAATTTGCCCTTGTTCATAAATATATTGACCTCTTTGAGGGCTATTGAAAGAACATACAAAATGATATTTCCCTTGATCAAAAACGAGACCGTCGGAGGATGTACTTGAGTTCGCTGGAGACCATGGTCTCGAACGACCTCGGACGATCTCGAACGACCTCATATTTTTACATGGCAATTATTTAGGAGCAACGGTTGCCCCTCAGTCTCGAACTACCTCGGACGGTCTTGAACGACCTCGGATTGTCTCAAGTATTATTTATGTTTATGATCAAAAAACGGAAAAAATAATTTAAATAATTTAATTATACGAAAAATATATATTATTCATTTGTGAATGCATAATCTATATTTTTAACTCAAATTGAATTCCACCTTTATTATTAATTTTTGATAAATATAATAATCCTCTAAAAAACACTTGCTGACCCCGAATAATTTTTTGTGGCCTTATTTATAGTGATTTAAGTTGCTCCGCTTATTTAACATAAATTTTCCAATCAAATTGAAAATTTTTTAATGTAACGTTACATAAATAACTGCATGCATTGAAAATGAAATTTATTATAATTTTCTGACAAAAAATTAAACTTTAATCACTCTTTAAATAAGGCCACAAAAATTATTCAGGGTCATCAAGTTTTTTTTTAGAACAGATTATTATATTTAACAAGAATTTAAAAGGAAGGTGGAATTCAATTTGAATTAAAAATATAGTTAATGCATTCGCAAATACAAATAGTTTTCGTCTAATTAAATTATTTATTCCGTTTTCTTATCATAACCATTAATAATACTTGGGACAGTCCGAGGTCGCTCGAGACCGTTCGAGGCTGTTGGACATCCTGAGACCGTTCGAAACCGTCCGAGGTCGCCATCAAGGTCGTTTAAGACCATGGTCGCTTAGTTGCTAAACTAGAAAAAATTAGCAAATTTAGCAATCGCTTATTTTGCTTATGTTGCTAATTTAGCCAAATTAGCAAATTTAGCAATTGCTTATTTCGCTTACGTTGCTAAACTAGCAATATTAGCAAATTTAGCAATCGCTTATTTTGCTTACGTTGCTAATTTAGCGAAATTAGCAAACTTAGCAATTGCTTATTGCCGTGGCTCCTGGGGAAAGAGCCGTGGCTCCTACGGAAAGAGCAGAGGCTCCTGGAGAAAGAGCCGTGGCTCCTCGGGAGCCGGGGCTCCTGAGGAGCCGGGGCTCCTGAGGAGCCGGCGCTCCTGAGGAGCCGGCGCTCCTGAGGAGCCGGCGCTCCTGGGGAGCCGGCGCTCCTGAGGAGCCGGCGCTCCTGAGGAGCCGGCGCTCCTGAGGAGCCGGGGCTCCTGAGGAGCCGGCGCTCCTGAGGAGCCGGCGCTCCTGAGGAGCCGGCGCTCCTGGGGAGCCGGCGCTCCTGAGGAGCCGGCGCTCCTGAGGAGCCGGCGCTCCTGAGGAGCCGGCGCTCCTGAGGAGCCGGCGCTCCTGAGGAGCCGGCGCTCCTGAGGAGCCGGGGCTCCTGAGGAGCCGGCGCTCCTGAGGAGCCGGCGCTCCTGAGGAGCCAGCGCTCCTGAGGAGCCGGCGCTCCTGAGGAGCCGGGGCTCCTGAGGAGCCGGCGCTCCTGAGGAGCCAGCGCTCCTGAGGAGCCGGCGCTCCTGAGGAGCCGGGGCTCCTGAGGAGCCGGCGCTCCTGGGGAATGAGCCGTGGCTCTTACGGAAAGAGCCGTGGCTCCTGGGGAAAGAGCCGTGGCTCCTGGGGAAAGAGCCGTGGCTCCTGGGGAAAGAGCCGTGGCTCTTACGGAAAGAGCCGTGGCTCCTGGGGAAAGAGCCGTGGCTCCTCGGGAGCCGGCGCTCCTGAGGAGCCGGGGCTCCTGGGGTATGAGCCGTGGCTCCTGGGGAAAGAGCCGTGGCTCTTACGGAAAGAGCCGTGGCTCCTGGGGAAAGAGCCGTGGCTCCTACGGAAAGAGCCATCGCTCTATGGGAAAGAGCCATCGCTCCTTGTTCGGCACATCTCAAATAAATAAATCTAACAAGTTCTAAATATATACTACTACTAATTTGCATATTACTTTTTCTGTTAATAAATTGTGGAATATTTATCATTTTGATGCTTATGTTCTTACGATTTTATTATAAATATTGCTTGCAAACGTGCAGAGAAAATATAAATTTAAGAAACAGGAGAGGGAAATGTTGACGGTCTTTCATACAAATGCACCATTCAAATTAAAATTAATAGCATAGCATGAGAGGAAATTCGCTACATTTATACTTTTGAATATAAATAATGATTTGATAATAATCGGGGTTTGGGCTAAAATTGTGTTCGGCCTTTTCATACATTTATTACCTTTCATCCTTGTAATTCTTTGGCACCCATCCGGGCAGTCCCGCGTCTTCGCAGGCACAAATCCCATCGAGCTGCATCCGTAGCCGTACGAAGGGGGCAGCTGCTGCGAATCAGGCATTGGAGGCGGCGGCAGTGGCGGCGAGCCCTGGCCACCCCTAACCATATGCAGATGGTGAGTCAGGTCATCCGCACCACCTCCCTGGTGCACCAAAGGAGATGTCGGAGCTGCGCAATCAAATGATAAAATTAGTCTTCCAGCTGCAGGAAATTTAGTGAAAAAAACTGACGAGGCATGCTCATGTGAGAGTGTCGAGCGGGAATAATGTGCTGGGCAGCGGACCTCCTGATGTTGGGAGCGGAGGTGGAGGCGGGAGGCGGCGTTTGCGGGTGGTTTTGGTTGTGAGACTGGTTCCCGTAGTTGATTGGATGCACCATACCGATCTGGATAAAAAAAAAATAGTAACAAGATTAATAATGGTTTGATGATGTTGGTTCAAAATATTAAAATATAAATAAATAAATATAAAAAAATTACAGACACTTCATTGAACACCAACTCGAGTGACTTATGATGTGTTGGTCAATTCATATGAAATAACATTAAACTAAAGATCATTTGTTTTCAACATCAGAAATTAAAATAAATAATGTTGATTATAACTTTATTTAAAAATCTTATTTGTTGCAATTATCTTGACATAATTTTAAAGTCAAAGTATTTTTTATGAAATTTTAGAATTTAATCAAGTCAGGAAAATTTTAATTGCTATTGAGAAAAAACCTTACTAAGGTTAGAAAAGGACTTTCTCACCAACTTTTTTTGACGAAAATTTTATATAGTAGAGATTAAAGATTAAAAACCAATTCCTCACCTGAGGGGGTCCTGGGGCCGACATACATGAGGGCCGGATTTGGATTTTGCTGGTGGTGCGAGGTGTGGTGGGGGTGCGGCAGGCCGTGTGGGTGAGCAGCTGGCTGGTGGGCTGCATGGGCCGGGTGCTGTAGCCAGGGCCGAGGCCGACAACGCCCCTGTTTTGCTCGATGCTGCGTCTCGGGTGGCCCATGGGGAAGTTTGGGGCGTAGTGGCTGGGCACCTGGGGCGGCGCCACCGCCGGGGGCGTCCTGTTCTCGCGCGAACCCTTGCTCAGGGTGCCCATGTTGCGGATTATCTTGAACTGGCGGTTTGTTGTCTTGCTGGCCGTGAGCACTCCTATTTCTCGTCGTGTGCCACTTTTTCATCACCGTCTACAAAAATAAGGGAAAAATTAGCAATTTTCACAGTTTCTTTAGCACATTTAAAAAAATTTATTTGCAAGCTCTGCTCCGAAAAATTGGGAAGTATTGCTGTATAGTGATCGAAGATAAAATTAGTGTTGAAAAAATAAATAATAAAAATTAGTTCTGGAAGTTTAAAACTGTATAAGTTAAATTAAAATATTTTTAATTTAATCTACCTCCTTACCAAAATTATTATAAAATTAAATTCGTAAAAATATTTTTTAAACCCAATTGTCAATATTAAAATAAAAAAAATATGCATATGTAAAGAGAAAGAAATTGAACCATTAGGAATTTTTGAGAAAAATATGATTATTTGATGAAAACACTAAAAAATTAAAGTAACGACTTATATTCTATAAAAATATTGTTTGCCATGGTCTCGAACGACCTCATATTTTTACATTGCAATTATTTAGGAGCAACGGTTGCCCCTCAGTCTCAGACTACCTCGGACGGTCTTGAACGACCTCGGACTGTCTCAAGTATATTTATGTTTATGATCGAAAAACGGAAAAAATAATTAAATTATACGAAAAATGTATATTATTCATTTGTGAATGCATAATCTATATTTTTAACCCAAATTGAATTCCACCTTTATTTTTAATTTGTTTTAAATATAATAATCTTCTAAAAAACACTTGCTGACCCCGAATAATTTTTTGTGGCCTTATTTATAGTGATTTAAGTTGCTCTGCTTATTTAACATTAATTTTCTAATCAAATTGAAAATTTTTTAATGTAGGAAATTACGTTACATAAATACCTGCATGCATTGAAAATGAAATTTATTATTATTTTCTCACAAAAAATTAAACTTTAATCACTCAATAAGTAAGGCCACAAAAAATTATTCAGGGTCATCAAGTTTTTTTTTTAGAACAGATTATTTTATTTAACAAGAATTAAAAAGAAAGGTGGAATTCAATTTGAATTAAAAATATAGTTAATGCATTCGCAAATACAAATAGTTTTCGTCTAATTAAATTATTTATTCCGTTTTCTTATCACAACCATTAATAATACTTGGGACAGTCCGAGGTCGCTCGAGACCGTCCGAGGTCGTTCCGAGACCGCTTGAGACCATTCGAGGCCGTTGGATATCCCAAGACCGTTCGAGACCGTCCGAGGTCGCCTTCGAGGTCGTTTGAGACCATGGTCGCTTGGGTTGCTAAACTAGCAAAACAAGCAAATTTAGCAATCGCTTATTTTGCTTACGTTGCTAATTTAGCAAAATTAGCAAATTTAGCAATTGCTTATTTCTCTTAGGTTGCTAAACTAGCGAAATTAGCAAATTTAGCAATTGTTTATTTTAAAAAGTAAATTATGGCAAAACAATATTAAAGTAATATTGAGTCTAATTTTAAAATGAAAATAATATTAATTATAATTACTTGCATGGGACCATGGGACGGGGATTGCCATAACACGGTGTCCTTAATATGATTTATATAATTAAATTTTAACGAGTAAAAGTCAACAATATTCATATAAAAATGTTTTTATCGTACCAAAAATGTTGAATTAGATTTTAATTCAATTCAAATGATGTCTCATTTACTGTTCGTCACATTTTCCCCCCTCACTTCTCTTCAAAGCGTGGAGCGAGAGTGCTGAAGCTACGTTACGTTTATAATTTAAAAATATAATAGTTTAAGCTTTATAGAAACCATTTTATTAGAAAAAAGTCAACATATGAGCCTTTGAAATTAAAATAAAGCTTTTCTTTTATAATAAATACTCTGTTGTTGCAGTTACTGGCCAAGATATGCTAGTTTATTTGAGAGTTGTGTTGTTAAAAGAATTATTAAAATTATTTTAATATACAACTGAACTGCGCCTCTTTAATTAATTCTCTAATAATCGGATTATTCGATGGAATTAGTTAATTAATTTTCCTTTGGGATTTATTTTACTCACAATTAAGGGCCATAAGTATGCCCAATAGAATACTTCATTTTAATCCTATTGTGCATAGTTACTTTGAATTTTGTCTTCTTATTTAACGCAACGAATTAACCTTTTATTATTTCGCGGCGCTCCGCGCCTGCTCGACAAAGTGAGCTGTTATTTATTTTTCACTGATGGCTATAGCTGCAAGCTTAAAAAAGTTTGTCTTAAAAATAATGAAAATCAATTTGCCCTTGTTCATAAATATATTGACCTCTTTGAGGGCTATTGAAAGAACATACAAAATGATATTTCCCTTGATCAAAAACGAGACCGTCGGAGGTTGTACTTGAGTTCGCTGGAGACCATGGTCTCGAACGACCTCGGACGATCTCGAACGACCTCATATTTTTACATGGCAATTATTTAGGAGCAACGGTTGCCCCTCAGTCTCGAACTACCTCGGACGGTCTTGAACGACCTCGGATTGTCTCAAGTATTATTTATGTTTATGATCAAAAAACGGAAAAAATAATTTAAATAATTTAATTATACGAAAAATATATATTATTCATTTGTGAATGCATAATCTATATTTTTAACTCAAATTGAATTCCACCTTTATTATTAATTTTTGATAAATATAATAATCCTCTAAAAAACACTTGCTGACCCCGAATAATTTTTTGTGGCCTTATTTATAGTGATTTAAGTTGCTCCGCTTATTTAACATAAATTTTCCAATCAAATTGAAAATTTTTTAATGTAACGTTACATAAATAACTGCATGCATTGAAAATGAAATTTATTATAATTTTCTGACAAAAAATTAAACTTTAATCACTCTTTAAATAAGGCCACAAAAAATTATTCAGGGTCATCAAGTTTTTTTTTAGAACAGATTATTATATTTAACAAGAATTAAAAAGGAAGGTGGAATTCAATTTGAATTAAAAATATAGTTAATGCATTCGCAAATACAAATAGTTTTCGTCTAATTAAATTATTTATTCCGTTTTCTTATCATAACCATTAATAATACTTGGGACAGTCCGAGGTCGCTCGAGACCGTTCGAGGCTGTTGGACATCCTGAGACCGTTCGAAACCGTCCGAGGTCGCCATCAAGGTCGTTTAAGACCATGGTCGCTTAGTTGCTAAACTAGAAAAAATTAGCAAATTTAGCAATCGCTTATTTTGCTTATGTTGCTAATTTAGCCAAATTAGCAAATTTAGCAATTGCTTATTTCGCTTACGTTGCTAAACTAGCAATATTAGCAAATTTAGCAATCGCTTATTTTGCTTACGTTGCTAATTTAGCGAAATTAGCAAACTTAGCAATTGCTTATTGCCGTGGCTCCTGGGGAAAGAGCCGTGGCTCCTACGGAAAGAGCCGAGGCTCCTGGAGAAAGAGCCGTGGCTCCTCGGGAGCCGGCGCTCCTGAGGAGCCGGCGCTCCTGAGGAGCCGGGGCTCCTGAGGAGCCGGCGCTCCTGGGGAGCCGGCGCTCCTGAGGAGCCGGGGCTCCTGAGGAGCCGGCGCTCCTGGGGAATGAGCCGTGGCTCCTGGGGAAAGAGCCGTGGCTCCTGGGGAAAGAGCCGTGGCTCCTGGGGAAAGAGCCGTGGCTCCTACGGAAAGAGCCATCGCTCTATGGGAAAGAGCCATCGCTCCTTGTTCGGCACATCTCAAATAAATAAATCTAACAAGTTCTAAATATATACTACTACTAATTTGCATATTACTTTTTCTGTTAATAAATTGTGGAATATTTATCATTTTGATGCTTATGTTCTTACGATTTTATTATAAATATTGCTTGCAAACGTGCAGAGAAAATATAAATTTAAGAAACAGGAGAGGGAAATGTTGACGGTCTTTCATACAAATGCACCATTCAAATTAAAATTAATAGCATAGCATGAGAGGAAATTCGCTACATTTATACTTTTGAATATAAATAATGATTTGATAATAATCGGGGTTTGGGCTAAAATTGTGTTCGGCCTTTTCATACATTTATTACCTTTCATCCTTGTAATTCTTTGGCACCCATCCGGGCAGTCCCGCGTCTTCGCAGGCACAAATCCCATCGAGCTGCATCCGTAGCCGTACGAAGGGGGCAGCTGCTGCGAATCAGGCATTGGAGGCGGCGGCAGTGGCGGCGAGCCCTGGCCACCCCTCACCATATGCAGATGGTGAGTCAGGTCATCCGCACCACCTCCCTGGTGCACCAAAGGAGATGTCGGAGCTGCGCAATCAAATGATAAAATTAGTCTTCCAGCTGCAGGAAATTTAGTAAAAAAAACTGACGAGGCATGCTCATGTGAGAGTGTCGAGCGGGAATAATGTGCTGGGCAGCGGACCTCCTGATGTTGGGAGCGGAGGTGGAGGCGGGAGGCGGCGTTTGCGGGTGGTTTTGGTTGTGAGACTGGTTCCCGTAGTTGATTGGATGCACCATACCGATCTGGATAAAAAAAAAATAGTAACAAGATTAATAATGGTTTGATGATGTTGGTTCAAAATATTAAAATATAAATAAATAAATAAAAAAAAATTACAGACACTTCATTGAACACCAACTCGAGTGACTTATGATGTGTTGGTCAATTCATATGAAATAACATTAAACTAAAGATCATTTGTTTTCAACATCAGAAATTAAAATAAATAATGTTGATTATAACTTTATTTAAAAATCTTATTTGTTGCAATTATCTTGACATAATTTTAAAGTCAAAGTATTTTTTATGAAATTTTAGAATTTAATCAAGTCAGGAAAATTTTAATTGCTATTGAGAAAAAACCTTACTAAGGTTAGAAAAGGACTTTCTCACCAACTTTTTTTGACGAAAATTTTATATAGTAGAGATTAAAGATTAAAAACCAATTCCTCACCTGAGGGGGTCCTGGGGCCGACATACATGAGGGCCGGATTTGGATTTTGCTGGTGGTGCGAGGTGTGGTGGGGGTGCGGCAGGCCGTGTGGGTGAGCAGCTGGCTGGTGGGCTGCATGGGCCGGGTGCTGTAGCCAGGGCCGAGGCCGACAACGCCCCTGTTTTGCTCGATGCTCCGTCTCGGGTGGCCCATGGGGAAGTTTGGGGCGTAGTGGCTGGGCACCTGGGGCGGCGCCACCGCCGGGGGCGTCCTGTTCTCGCGCGAACCCTTGCTCAGGGTGCCCATGTTGCGGATTATCTTGAACTGGCGGTTTGTTGTCTTGCTGGCCGTGAGCACTCCTATTTCTCGTCGTGTGCCACTTTTTCATCACCGTCTACAAAAATAAGGGAAAAATTAGCAATTTTCACAGTTTCTTTAGCACATTTAAAAAAATTTATTTGCAAGCTCTGCTCCGAAAAATTGGGAAGTATTGCTGTATAGTGATCGAAGATAAAATTAGTGTTGAAAAAATAAATAATAAAAATTAGTTCTGGAAGTTTAAAACTGTATAAGTTAAATTAAAATATTTTTAATTTAATCTACCTCCTTACCAAAATTATTATAAAATTAAATTCGTAAAAATATTTTTTAAACCCAATTGTCAATATTAAAATAAAAAAAATATGCATATGTAAAGAGAAAGAAATTGAACCATTAGGAATTTTTGAGAAAAATATGATTATTTGATGAAAACACTAAAAAATTAAAGTAACGACTTATATTCTATAAAAATATTGTTTGCCATGGTCTCGAACGACCTCATATTTTTACATTGCAATTATTTAGGAGCAACGGTTGCCCCTCAGTCTCAGACTACCTCGGACGGTCTTGAACGACCTCGGACTGTCTCAAGTATATTTATGTTTATGATCGAAAAACGGAAAAAATAATTAAATTATACGAAAAATGTATATTATTCATTTGTGAATGCATAATCTATATTTTTAACCCAAATTGAATTCCACCTTTATTTTTAATTTGTTTTAAATATAATAATCTTCTAAAAAACACTTGCTGACCCCGAATAATTTTTTGTGGCCTTATTTATAGTGATTTAAGTTGCTCTGCTTATTTAACATTAATTTTCTAATCAAATTGAAAATTTTTTAATGTAGGAAATTACGTTACATAAATACCTGCATGCATTGAAAATGAAATTTATTATTATTTTCTCACAAAAAATTAAACTTTAATCACTCAATAAGTAAGGCCACAAAAAATTATTCAGGGTCATCAAGTTTTTTTTTTAGAACAGATTATTTTATTTAACAAGAATTAAAAAGAAAGGTGGAATTCAATTTGAATTAAAAATATAGTTAATGCATTCGCAAATACAAATAGTTTTCGTCTAATTAAATTATTTATTCCGTTTTCTTATCACAACCATTAATAATACTTGGGACAGTCCGAGGTCGCTCGAGACCGTCCGAGGTCGTTCCGAGACCGCTTGAGACCATTCGAGGCCGTTGGATATCCCAAGACCGTTCGAGACCGTCCGAGGTCGCCTTCGAGGTCGTTTGAGACCATGGTCGCTTGGGTTGCTAAACTAGCAAAACAAGCAAATTTAGCAATCGCTTATTTTGCTTACGTTGCTAATTTAGCAAAATTAGCAAATTTAGCAATTGCTTATTTCTCTTAGGTTGCTAAACTAGCGAAATTAGCAAATTTAGCAATTGTTTATTTTAAAAAGTAAATTATGGCAAAACAATATTAAAGTAATATTGAGTCTAATTTTAAAATGAAAATAATATTAATTATAATTACTTGCATGGGACCATGGGACGGGGATTGCCATAACACGGTGTCCTTAATATGATTTATATAATTAAATTTTAACGAGTAAAAGTCAACAATATTCATATAAAAATGTTTTTATCGTACCAAAAATGTTGAATTAGATTTTAATTCAATTCAAATGATGTCTCATTTACTGTTCGTCACATTTTCCCCCCTCACTTCTCTTCAAAGCGTGGAGCGAGAGTGCTGAAGCTACGTTACGTTTATAATTTAAAAATATAATAGTTTAAGCTTTATAGAAACCATTTTATTAGAAAAAAGTCAACATATGAGCCTTTGAAATTAAAATAAAGCTTTTCTTTTATAATAAATACTCTGTTGTTGCAGTTACTGGCCAAGATATGCTAGTTTATTTGAGAGTTGTGTTGTTAAAAGAATTATTAAAATTATTTTAATATACAACTGAACTGCGCCTCTTTAATTAATTCTCTAATAATCGGATTATTCGATGGAATTAGTTAATTAATTTTCCTTTGGGATTTATTTTACTCACAATTAAGGGCCATAAGTATGCCCAATAGAATACTTCATTTTAATCCTATTGTGCATAGTTACTTTGAATTTTGTCTTCTTATTTAACGCAACGAATTAACCTTTTATTATTTCGCGGCGCTCCGCGCCTGCTCGACAAAGTGAGCTGTTATTTATTTTTCACTGATGGCTATAGCTGCAAGCTTAAAAAAGTTTGTCTTAAAAATAATGAAAATCAATTTGCCCTTGTTCATAAATATATTGACCTCTTTGAGGGCTATTGAAAGAACATACAAAATGATATTTCCCTTGATCAAAAACGAGACCGTCGGAGGTTATACTTGAGTTCGCTGGAGACCATGGTCTCGAACGACCTCGGACGATCTCGAACGACCTCATATTTTTACATGGCAATTATTTAGGAGCAACGGTTGCCCCTCAGTCTCGAACTACCTCGGACGGTCTTGAACGACCTCGGATTGTCTCAAGTATTATTTATGTTTATGATCAAAAAACGGAAAAAATAATTTAAATAATTTAATTATACGAAAAATATATATTATTCATTTGTGAATGCATAATCTATATTTTTAACTCAAATTGAATTCCACCTTTATTATTAATTTTTGATAAATATAATAATCCTCTAAAAAACACTTGCTGACCCCGAATAATTTTTTGTGGCCTTATTTATAGTGATTTAAGTTGCTCCGCTTATTTAACATAAATTTTCCAATCAAATTGAAAATTTTTTAATGTAACGTTACATAAATAACTGCATGCATTGAAAATGAAATTTATTATAATTTTCTGACAAAAAATTAAACTTTAATCACTCTTTAAATAAGGCCACAAAAAATTATTCAGGGTCATCAAGTTTTTTTTTAGAACAGATTATTATATTTAACAAGAATTAAAAAGGAAGGTGGAATTCAATTTGAATTAAAAATATAGTTAATGCATTCGCAAATACAAATAGTTTTCGTCTAATTAAATTATTTATTCCGTTTTCTTATCATAACCATTAATAATACTTGGGACAGTCCGAGGTCGCTCGAGACCGTTCGAGGCTGTTGGACATCCTGAGACCGTTCGAAACCGTCCGAGGTCGCCATCAAGGTCGTTTAAGACCATGGTCGCTTAGTTGCTAAACTAGAAAAAATTAGCAAATTAAGCAATCGCTTATTTTGCTTATGTTGCTAATTTAGCCAAATTAGCAAATTTAGCAATTGCTTATTTCGCTTACGTTGCTAAACTAGCAATATTAGCAAATTTAGCAATCGCTTATTTTGCTTACGTTGCTAATTTAGCGAAATTAGCAAACTTAGCAATTGCTTATTGCCGTGGCTCCTGGGGAAAGAGCCGTGGCTCCTACGGAAAGAGCCGAGGCTCCTGGAGAAAGAGCCGTGGCTCCTCGGGAGCCGGCGCTCCTGAGGAGCCGGGGCTCCTGAGGAGCCGGCGCTCCTGGGGAGCCGGCGCTCCTGAGGAGCCGGGGCTCCTGAGGAGCCGGCGCTCCTGGGGAGCCGGCGCTCCTGAGGAGCCGGCGCTCCTGAGGAGCCGGCGCTCCTGAGGAGCCGGGGCTCCTGAGGAGCCGGCGCTCCTGGGGAGCCGGCGCTCCTGAGGAGCCGGCGCTCCTGAGGAGCCGGGGCTCCTGAAGAGCCGGCGCTCCTGAGGAGCCGGCGCTCCTGGGGAATGAGCCGTGGCTCCTGGGGAAAGAGCCGTGGCTCCTGGGGAAAGAGCCGTGGCTCCTGGGGAAAGAGCCGTGGCTCTTACGGAAAGAGCCGTGGCTCCTGGGGAAAGAGCCGTGGCTCCTACGGAAAGAGCCATCGCTCTATGGGAAAGAGCCATCGCTCCTTGTTCGGCACATCTCAAATAAATAAATCTAACAAGTTCTAAATATATACTACTACTAATTTGCATATTACTTTTTCTGTTAATAAATTGTGGAATATTTATCATTTTGATGCTTATGTTCTTACGATTTTATTATAAATATTGCTTGCAAACGTGCAGAGAAAATATAAATTTAAGAAACAGGAGAGGGAAATGTTGACGGTCTTTCATACAAATGCACCATTCAAATTAAAATTAATAGCATAGCATGAGAGGAAATTCGCTACATTTATACTTTTGAATGTAAATAATGATTTGATAATAATCGGGGTTTGGGCTAAAATTGTGTTCGGCCTTTTCATACATTTATTACCTTTCATCCTTGTAATTCTTTGGCACCCATCCGGGCAGTCCCGCGTCTTCGCAGGCACAAATCCCATCGAGCTGCATCCGTAGCCGTACGAAGGGGGCAGCTGCTGCGAATCAGGCATTGGAGGCGGCGGCAGTGGCGGCGAGCCCTGGCCACCCCTAACCATATGCAGATGGTGAGTCAGGTCATCCGCACCACCTCCCTGGTGCACCAAAGGAGATGTCGGAGCTGCGCAATCAAATGATAAAATTAGTCTTCCAGCTGCAGGAAATTTAGTGAAAAAAACTGACGAGGCATGCTCATGTGAGAGTGTCGAGCGGGAATAATGTGCTGGGCAGCGGACCTCCTGATGTTGGGAGCGGAGGTGGAGGCGGGAGGCGGCGTTTGCGGGTGGTTTTGGTTGTGAGACTGGTTCCCGTAGTTGATTGGATGCACCATACCGATCTGGATAAAAAAAAAATAGTAACAAGATTAATAATGGTTTGATGATGTTGGTTCAAAATATTAAAATATAAATAAATAAATATAAAAAAATTACAGACACTTCATTGAACACCAACTCGAGTGACTTATGATGTGTTGGTCAATTCATATGAAATAACATTAAACTAAAGATCATTTGTTTTCAACATCAGAAATTAAAATAAATAATGTTGATTATAACTTTATTTAAAAATCTTATTTGTTGCAATTATCTTGACATAATTTTAAAGTCAAAGTATTTTTTATGAAATTTTAGAATTTAATCAAGTCAGGAAAATTTTAATTGCTATTGAGAAAAAACCTTACTAAGGTTAGAAAAGGACTTTCTCACCAACTTTTTTTGACGAAAATTTTATATAGTAGAGATTAAAGATTAAAAACCAATTCCTCACCTGAGGGGGTCCTGGGGCCGACATACATGAGGGCCGGATTTGGATTTTGCTGGTGGTGCGAGGTGTGGTGGGGGTGCGGCAGGCCGTGTGGGTGAGCAGCTGGCTGGTGGGCTGCATGGGCCGGGTGCTGTAGCCAGGGCCGAGGCCGACAACGCCCCTGTTTTGCTCGATGCTGCGTCTCGGGTGGCCCATGGGGAAGTTTGGGGCGTAGTGGCTGGGCACCTGGGGCGGCGCCACCGCCGGGGGCGTCCTGTTCTCGCGCGAACCCTTGCTCAGGGTGCCCATGTTGCGGATTATCTTGAACTGGCGGTTTGTTGTCTTGCTGGCCGTGAGCACTCCTATTTCTCGTCGTGTGCCACTTTTTCATCACCGTCTACAAAAATAAGGGAAAAATTAGCAATTTTCACAGTTTCTTTAGCACATTTAAAAAAATTTATTTGCAAGCTCTGCTCCGAAAAATTGGGAAGTATTGCTGTATAGTGATCGAAGATAAAATTAGTGTTGAAAAAATAAATAATAAAAATTAGTTCTGGAAGTTTAAAACTGTATAAGTTAAATTAAAATATTTTTAATTTAATCTACCTCCTTACCAAAATTATTATAAAATTAAATTCGTAAAAATATTTTTTAAACCCAATTGTCAATATTAAAATAAAAAAAATATGCATATGTAAAGAGAAAGAAATTGAACCATTAGGAATTTTTGAGAAAAATATGATTATTTGATGAAAACACTAAAAAATTAAAGTAACGACTTATATTCTATAAAAATATTGTTTGCCATGGTCTCGAACGACCTCATATTTTTACATTGCAATTATTTAGGAGCAACGGTTGCCCCTCAGTCTCAGACTACCTCGGACGGTCTTGAACGACCTCGGACTGTCTCAAGTATATTTATGTTTATGATCGAAAAACGGAAAAAATAATTAAATTATACGAAAAATGTATATTATTCATTTGTGAATGCATAATCTATATTTTTAACCCAAATTGAATTCCACCTTTATTTTTAATTTGTTTTAAATATAATAATCTTCTAAAAAACACTTGCTGACCCCGAATAATTTTTTGTGGCCTTATTTATAGTGATTTAAGTTGCTCTGCTTATTTAACATTAATTTTCTAATCAAATTGAAAATTTTTTAATGTAGGAAATTACGTTACATAAATACCTGCATGCATTGAAAATGAAATTTATTATTATTTTCTCACAAAAAATTAAACTTTAATCACTCAATAAGTAAGGCCACAAAAAATTATTCAGGGTCATCAAGTTTTTTTTTTAGAACAGATTATTTTATTTAACAAGAATTAAAAAGAAAGGTGGAATTCAATTTGAATTAAAAATATAGTTAATGCATTCGCAAATACAAATAGTTTTCGTCTAATTAAATTATTTATTCCGTTTTCTTATCACAACCATTAATAATACTTGGGACAGTCCGAGGTCGCTCGAGACCGTCCGAGGTCGTTCCGAGACCGCTTGAGACCATTCGAGGCCGTTGGATATCCCAAGACCGTTCGAGACCGTCCGAGGTCGCCTTCGAGGTCGTTTGAGACCATGGTCGCTTGGGTTGCTAAACTAGCAAAACAAGCAAATTTAGCAATCGCTTATTTTGCTTACGTTGCTAATTTAGCAAAATTAGCAAATTTAGCAATTGCTTATTTCTCTTAGGTTGCTAAACTAGCGAAATTAGCAAATTTAGCAATTGTTTATTTTAAAAAGTAAATTATGGCAAAACAATATTAAAGTAATATTGAGTCTAATTTTAAAATGAAAATAATATTAATTATAATTACTTGCATGGGACCATGGGACGGGGATTGCCATAACACGGTGTCCTTAATATGATTTATATAATTAAATTTTAACGAGTAAAAGTCAACAATATTCATATAAAAATGTTTTTATCGTACCAAAAATGTTGAATTAGATTTTAATTCAATTCAAATGATGTCTCATTTACTGTTCGTCACATTTTCCCCCCTCACTTCTCTTCAAAGCGTGGAGCGAGAGTGCTGAAGCTACGTTACGTTTATAATTTAAAAATATAATAGTTTAAGCTTTATAGAAACCATTTTATTAGAAAAAAGTCAACATATGAGCCTTTGAAATTAAAATAAAGCTTTTCTTTTATAATAAATACTCTGTTGTTGCAGTTACTGGCCAAGATATGCTAGTTTATTTGAGAGTTGTGTTGTTAAAAGAATTATTAAAATTATTTTAATATACAACTGAACTGCGCCTCTTTAATTAATTCTCTAATAATCGGATTATTCGATGGAATTAGTTAATTAATTTTCCTTTGGGATTTATTTTACTCACAATTAAGGGCCATAAGTATGCCCAATAGAATACTTCATTTTAATCCTATTGTGCATAGTTACTTTGAATTTTGTCTTCTTATTTAACGCAACGAATTAACCTTTTATTATTTCGCGGCGCTCCGCGCCTGCTCGACAAAGTGAGCTGTTATTTATTTTTCACTGATGGCTATAGCTGCAAGCTTAAAAAAGTTTGTCTTAAAAATAATGAAAATCAATTTGCCCTTGTTCATAAATATATTGACCTCTTTGAGGGCTATTGAAAGAACATACAAAATGATATTTCCCTTGATCAAAAACGAGACCGTCGGAGGTTGTACTTGAGTTCGCTGGAGACCATGGTCTCGAACGACCTCGGACGATCTCGAACGACCTCATATTTTTACATGGCAATTATTTAGGAGCAACGGTTGCCCCTCAGTCTCGAACTACCTCGGACGGTCTTGAACGACCTCGGATTGTCTCAAGTATTATTTATGTTTATGATCAAAAAACGGAAAAAACAATTTAAATAATTTAATTATACGAAAAATATATATTATTCATTTGTGAATGCATAATCTATATTTTTAACTCAAATTGAATTCCACCTTTATTATTAATTTTTGATAAATATAATAATCCTCTAAAAAACACTTGCTGACCCCGAATAATTTTTTGTGGCCTTATTTATAGTGATTTAAGTTGCTCCGCTAATTTAACAAAAATTTTCCAATCAAATTGAAAATTTTTTAATGTAACGTTACATAAATAACTGCATGCATTGAAAATGAAATTTATTATAATTTTCTGACAAAAAATTAAACTTTAATCACTCTTTAAATAAGGCCACAAAAAATTATTCAGGGTCATCAAGTTTTTTTTTAGAACAGATTATTATATTTAACAAGAATTAAAAAGGAAGGCGGAATTCAATTTGAATTAAAAATATAGTTAATGCATTCGCAAATACAAATAGTTTTCGTCTAATTAAATTATTTATTCCGTTTTCTTATCATAACCATTAATAATACTTGGGACAGTCCGAGGTCGCTCGAGACCGTTCGAGGCTGTTGGACATCCTGAGACCGTTCGAAACCGTCCGAGGTCGCCATCAAGGTCGTTTAAGACCATGGTCGCTTAGTTGCTAAACTAGAAAAAATTAGCAAATTTAGCAATCGCTTATTTTGCTTACGTTGCTAATTTAGCCAAATTAGCAAACTTAGCAATTGCTTATTGCCGTGGCTCCTGGGGAAAGAGCCGTGGCTCCTACGGAAAGAGCCGAGGCTCCTGGACAAAGAGCCGTGGCTCCTCGGGAGCCGGCGCTCCTCGGGAGCCGGCGCTCCTGAGGAGCCGGCGCTACTGCGGAGCCGGCGCTCCTGAGGAGCCGGCGCTCCTGGGGAATGAGCCGTGGCTCCTGGGGAAAGAGCCGTGGCTCTTACGGAAAGAGCCGTGGCTCCTGGGGAAAGAGCCGTGGCTCCTGGGGAAAGAGCCGTGGCTCCTGGGGAAAGAGCCGTGGCTCTTACGGAAAGAGCCGTGGCTCCTGGGGAAAGAGCCGTGGCTCCTACGGAAAGAGCCATCGCTCTATGGGAAAGAGCCATCGCTCCTTGTTCGGCACATCTCAAATAAATAAATCTAACAAGTTCTAAATATACACTACTACTAATTTGCATATTACTTTTTCTGTTAATAAATTGTGGAATATTTATCATTTTGATGCTTATGTTCTTACGATTTTATTATAAATATTGCTTGCAAACGTGCAGAGAAAATATAAATTTAAGAAACAGGAGAGGGAAATGTTGACGGTCTTTCATACAAATGCACCATTCAAATTAAAATTAATAGCATAGCATGAGAGGAAATTCGCTACATTTATACTTTTGAATATAAATAATGATTTGATAATAATCGGGGTTTGGGCTAAAATTGTGATCGGCCTTTTCATACATTTATTACCTTTCATCCTTGTAATTCTTTGGCACCCATCCGGGCAGTCCCGCGTCTTCGCAGGCACAAATCCCATCGAGCTGCATCCGTAGCCGTACGAAGGGGGCAGCTGCTGCGAATCAGGCATTGGAGGCGGCGGCAGTGGCGGCGAGCCCTGGCCACCCCTCACCATATGCAGATGGTGAGTCAGGTCATCCGCACCACCTCCCTGGTGCACCAAAGGAGATGTCGGAGCTGCGCAATCAAATGATAAAATTAGTCTTCCAGCTGCAGGAAATTTAGTAAAAAAAACTGATGAGGCATGCTCATGTGAGAGTGTCGAGCGGGAATAATGTGCTGGGCAGCGGACCTCCTGATGTTGGGAGCGGAGGTGGAGGCGGGAGGCGGCGTTTGCGGGTGGTTTTGGTTGTGAGACTGGTTCCCGTAGTTGATTGGATGCACCATACCGATCTGGATAAAAAAAAAATAGTAACAAGATTCATAATGGTTTGATGATGTTGGTTCAAAATATTAAAATATAAATAAATAAATATAAAAAAATTACAGACACTTCATTGAACACCAACTCGAGTGACTTATGATGTGTTGGTCAATTCATATGAAATAACATTAAACTAAAGATCATTTGTTTTCAACATCAGAAATTAAAATAAATAATGTTGATTATAACTTTATTTAAAAATCTTATTTGTTGCAATTATCTTGACATAATTTTAAAGTCAAAGTATTTTTTATGAAATTTTAGAATTTAATCAAGTCAGGAAAATTTTAATTGCTATTGAGAAAAAACCTTACTAAGGTTAGAAAAGGACTTTCTCACCAACTTTTTTTGACGAAAATTTTATATAGTAGAGATTAAAGATTAAAAACCAATTCCTCACCTGAGGGGGTCCTGGGGCCGACATACATGAGGGCCGGATTTGGATTTTGCTGGTGGTGCGAGGTGTGGTGGGGGTGCGGCAGGCCGTGTGGGTGAGCAGCTGGCTGGTGGGCTGCATGGGCCGGGTGCTGTAGCCAGGGCCGAGGCCGACAACGCCCCTGTTTTGCTCGATGCTGCGTCTCGGGTGGCCCATGGGGAAGTTTGGGGCGTAGTGGCTGGGCACCTGGGGCGGCGCCACCGCCGGGGGCGTCCTGTTCTCGCGCGAACCCTTGCTCAGGGTGCCCATGTTGCGGATTATCTTGAACTGGCGGTTTGTTGTCTTGCTGGCCGTGAGCACTCCTATTTCTCGTCGTGTGCCACTTTTTCATCACCGTCTACAAAAATAAGGGAAAAATTAGCAATTTTCACAGTTTCTTTAGCACATTTAAAAAAATTTATTTGCAAGCTCTGCTCCGAAAAATTGGGAAGTATTGCTGTATAGTGATCGAAGATAAAATTAGTGTTGAAAAAATAAATAATAAAAATTAGTTCTGGAAGTTTAAAACTGTATAAGTTAAATTAAAATATTTTTAATTTAATCTACCTCCTTACCAAAATTATTATAAAATTAAATTTGTAACAATATTTTTAAACCCAATTGTCAATATTAAAATAAAAAAAATATGCGTATGTAAAGAGAAAGAAATTGAACCATTAGGAATTTTTGAGAAAAATGTGATTATTTGATGAAAACACTTTGTTAAAAAATTAAAGTAACGACTTATATTCTATAAAAATATTGCCAACATTATAATATATAATAATAATATATAATTATAATTAAAAAAATATTTGTTAAAAGGATTTTATTTAAAAGAATTTTGGAGATAAAATTATCTTTTGATGAAAAATCTTCATCATAAAATAAATTTATGTCCAATTTTTTGTAAAAATAATTCCAACATTAATCGTCTTATTTTTGAAAAATAATTTTGTTAGCTTAATTAAAATAATTATTATAACTGTCAAAAATCTAATTGAAATGCAAATTTATCATAAAAAAATTGGATGGCTTCCATCTTAATGAAGAAAACTTAATAAACACTCGATCAACTGATTTCATTTCTTGCAGGGACGGCTCTTCTAGGTAGCCACGGCTGTTTTGGGGAGCAACCGCTCTCCCGAGGAGCAACCGCTCTTTTGAAGAAGAGCAACCGCAAAGCAACCGCTCTTCTGAGGAGCCACGCCTCTCTACTGCTGGCAATGCCGGCAGTGCTGATCTGGCCAGGCCCTTGGGCCAGGCTGTGTGGTAACCCACCAAAGCCAAAAAAACAACAACACACCTGTAAAATTCCATTTATGAAACCTCCCGACTTTCCTTAATTGATTTGATAAAAAAAAATTATTCATTATTTGCGACCTTAAATTCATGTGTCGTTTAAACTATTTACCCGACAACTATTTTTTCCAGGTATGGCCACTATGGCCTCTTGTCTTTGGGCTTGTCCGCCTCACTCTTTGTGTTGATTTTATTTCTGCATGAGAATAAATAATTATTTTTAGACTTATGTGGCTGACAAAAGATTATTCTATTTATTTTCATAAAAATATAACCAGTTTTAAGATTCATCCCAAATATTTTTGACACGACAAACAGATTTAATTTTATAAACCACCACTGAACGACACTTTTTCAACTCTGAAGCAAGCGAAATTGGGTTTTTTTTTATTTGGAATTTTTTGGAAGAGAACTTTGGCCTTTTTTTATTTTAAATCCATTATTTTGGTTGTTATTTTAGAGTTAATATGAAACATTAATTTGAAATATTGAAAAATAATCAATTGTTGGGAGGAAAAAAATTGAATTTTGTTCAATTGCAGGATAATAAGGCACCACCAACCCTAAAAAGAATTATGCTAAAACTTTTAACATTAAAAAAAATCCATTCACCACACCGAGTCCAGTTAGAAGTAAGAAAATTAATTATTCGTCAAATTTAAAAAAATAATTTTCCTCAACAAAACAGAAATTTTAATGATCTGATTTTGATACAGATTGCAAATTTGAAAACAGTGTGATACGCAGATTTATGTATAAATATAAGCTTTTCAATTAAATTTCTTAAAAATATTTCAAGGTTTTATAGAATTAACTTAATTTTTAAAGCGAATCAATCTAATTAAAACAAAAATTTATGTGAATATTGAACAATATTGAAAACAAAATTTTTGTTTTTAGAACATTTCAGAAATTTTCTTTAAAATTTGGTAAAGTTGAAGTTGTAAGGGAAAAAAATCCTAAAATATTGAAATGCAATTGCTAAAAAAAATTATTTAACTTTCATATTTAAGTTATTCCTGTAAAGTTAAAATATTTATTTAAGAGCTGACTGAAAAAATTAAATCTGCTTATAATTAAAAAAAAGAATCTTCATCAGCTTTTATTTTCTTCATCCTTCTATAAAAAGCACCGGCCGCTGGTCTTGCCAAAGTAGAACTGGAATTAACTCCAGCAAACTTGTTTGCACGAGTCGGCCACGGGCACGCATGCTAACAAGTTTGTTCGTTCGCGCGAGCCACGACACAAATGTGGACTACAAAATGTAGAAGCGATAAAAGGAGGCAAAATTAAAGTGCGTAGGATGACAATGCAGCGCCAGAATGCATTGACGAATCTCACTCTTGCCTCCTTGCTTCAGTTTTGCTTCCAAGGTCAAAGACAAGTGCAACGAAAAGTGTATTAGCTTGTTTGGAATGCAAGCACAAATGAACGGAATCTGGGGCCTGATGTTGCAAGAGGAATGCGCGTGCGCTTTGCCAAATATGAATGGCACGCGCGACAAAGCGGCCCACTCTGCTCTCACCGATTGAAAAAGTGCATTTTTCGCATTTTTTCTCCAACTCCTGAGCCGAAATAAATCGGCGTTTGGACGTTTCTAGGGAAAATTTGGCAAATTCCTCGCTTACATAATATCCGCGGTATCAGAGGAAGAAAAAGTGAAAACTCCAGTAAAAAAAATAATAAAATGTGGCTTTAAGCGTGTTGAAATATTTCCATTATGACGTGGTAAATACAAAATTTCCTTCCTTATGCATACCTAACGCTCCGCATTTAGTAAGATAGTAATAATTTCAAACAAAAAATCAATGACATGATTAGATGATTTTGATTGTTTCATTTGCCAAATATTTGAGCATAAATTTTTTTTTCTTTTTAAAAAATCTCAGATTTTCGCTTACTTAATATATTAATTAATGTATTGCTCACCAAAGTGCTGAATGCGGAGGTTTTATTTTTAAGTTCTCAAATTATCTATTTGGAAATTGCGAAATACATTGCATGGGTTCGTATTTTTTTTGGGTATTGGAGCAAAATATGTAATAAGATTCACTATCGCTTGACTTTCAATCGAATGTAATTAATTTGATATAAGATAAGGACATACCTGCGTATCTAGCACGCTTCAATCGAGACTCGAGTTGCGCGGGTCGCTCGCTTTTCTTGACTGGCTAATACCAATTGTGTGCATGCACGTTTATAAACCTAACCCCCACTCCTTTTCACATCAACAAGGGCACGGCAAAAAAGTTCCCTAGTTCTCAAATTTAAATATAGATATATAATATTTTTTTCAATAAGAACGGCTTAAAATATAAATTTGAAAATTTAAGAGAAGTTCACATTTATATAATCAACTATTTTTAGATATTGTTGTGAAAAAATTCGATTGCATACTTTAATTTTCATTTTAAATATTTGCTAAATAGCGAAAAGAAATTGCAAAATTTTCAAAAATTTTGTTTTTGATAAGTTTACTTCATTAGCTTTCATTTCCTCCCAAGTTTTTAATTTTAGGACCGCAATAGAAATATTACCAAGCCAATGTAGCAAACTTCTTAATTCCGTCCGAACTGGCCTGTCGAGACCCACGTGACCTCGTAAATTGTCTCTTTCATTATTTGTGAAAACATCATGTTGATATATCAATTAGAAATATATTGATTTGCCAGGGAAAAACCAGGAAACCCCAAAAGCCAAGATAGTAGCCTTATTCTCTCGGGCCTGCCGAAAATTCGTTTTGCAATTTAGACGGTGCGACATAAAAGTGATAACTAGAGTATCATTTTGAAGGGCGCACATGCAAATCGGATTAAACCTCCACAATACGAAACTTTTCAAAGCTTTGAAATTAATTAAATTTTCAAAATAACCTCACATACCTGGGAGCCACGATTTCTTGTGATTCTTGGGGCTATGCAACCCTCCGTGCCATCTGTGCGAGGGAGACGGAGGAGTGAGGTTGTCACCCAGGGGTGTTCGAGGGTTGCCGGTTAGGTGGCAGGGGTGCAGGCGCTTGCACGGACGGGACCTCTGCTGAGCAGTTGAAAAATTCAAAGGCGTTGCGCGCGGAAAGCCGGGGCCGCAGCGGGCGAGCGCGGCACATCCGCAGCATCCGTAGCAGTGGCTGGTGCCGGCGACCGAGAGCTCCCTCCGCCCAGACAAGCTTCTGGATTTTTCATTCTCGTTAAAAATTCATCCAGTGTTGTCCTTCGGTGTGTCTCGTTTTCCACAGTGCGTGTACATTTGGCCTGCCGTTGATCAGCCGCAAAAACCATTAATTTATTTCGAAATAGTGCAGAGACTGCCATTGTAATGCTAATCAGCGGATTGGCCGGCCACAATAGCGGCGGATAGAAACTTCATTTCCGAGCTAGCTGTTGAGCCTCCAGCTCATTCATCCGAGATAAATCGTTTTTCCCTTCTTTCTTTCTTCGGCATCTCTGTTGCCGCCGGAGAAAGGCGTGAAATTTAACTCTTCTTGAAGTAAAAGAAGAAGTCGCGTGGGAGTCGTTAGGCTCGACTCTGATTGTCACGCAATTGGACAATTTTCGCACTTCGCGCCAAGGCGAACTTCAAAGGAGCAGCCACAGCAGCATTTGCGGTAAGTTGACGACTTCATTATACAGAGAAATTCGCACGTCGCGGCGTGTGCGGGGAGTGAATTTATTTTAATAAATTTTGGATTTGGATGTGAGAGATGAAAAAAATAGGAGTGAATAACAAAAAACAAAACAAATATTATAGTTACATATGAGTTACATAATAAAATTTTTAATGAAAATCTTATTAATATTCCTATAAATGTTTCTGGCACAAATTATTACAAATCTGTATTTAATAATAATAATAATATTCAATTGTTTTCATTTTATTTTATTTTGCTAAAATTAACAATGCAAATAAGTACATGCATAATAATTTTTAATTAAATTAAATAATATATTATATAATAATTTTATAAAATAAATTTAATGCTAAAAGTTATATACTTTTTGTATAAAAAAATATTTTACTAGTTTAGAAATTTTTTAAAAAAACGCTGGAGATATTTATTTTTAATATTTCAAAATATTTAACAAATTATACATTATTTTGTTTCACGCGTTTATTCATATTTAAATCTTCACATAAATTTATAGATACCTCGTTGCCCATATCACAAGTTTTCTTGAATTTCTGTTATGTATTAAATTGTTAGTTATTCTCAATTTACCAAATTTTTCTCTTGACAGTCATCACTAAATATATTTTAAATAGCAAAATTAAACATCAATATGCGACGCATTTTTGTAAATGGGCGAAGCGCAGATGCATTCTATTATTTCTGTTGCTTCACATTTATTGATGTTCCCTTTTTCTGATAAAGAAATGATCAAGCAAAATAAAACAAAATATCTTATTGGTTAAAGAAATTTTGTAAAGTGTTTATTTAGGATCATTATTCAGCAATAGAAACACATACATGATTTTTTCACCCCACTTGTCTTGCTGTCAAATCTTTGCCCATCTCTCGGAGCTTCTTGTTTTCTTGTTGATGCAGAGGAGGGATCGAGAGAATGAAATGATAAAACGCACGTTCGTTTATCTTTCTCGACATTCATTCGCGCCGGCTTTTGGCTTTTGCCGCATTACATAGCGCACAACAAAGAGAGTCCCCCTGACGCAGCATATCGTGTAATAAAATTATGGAAACAATATCAGCGTCATTACTGCCACGGCTAATGTTGTTACAAAATGAAGAGAGCAGTGCACGCCCTAGTCGGCAACTCCAAAAATATTTATATATGAAAGGCGGGTGCAGCGCCCCGACGTCTCTTTTGTGCAGGATTTTTGTTTTGTTGATTCGCTTTTGAAATTTGTTTTGATTTTCCACAGTCAAAGAAGAAGAATTCCAATGATAAAGCTAATTTTTTTAAAGAAAATGCCAAGATGAAAAATCTAATTCTTATCCATCGAAATTTTTAATAGTTTATAAATCCAATCAATACAATTTGATTACTTATTTGCAAATTCAAATTAATGAAAATAAAGATGAAGTTATTTTCATTTTTTCACTTTTAATTATTGAAAAGTGCACAAAATCTAGCCGCTGAATATCTTCCCCATCAATCAAGTTGATTAATTTCACTACAGGTCATGCATTTCCTGCTTGCTGATGTGCCTTTCGACTCTCAGCGTTCCTCCCTCATACCGCAACACCAAAACCATCCAATCATAATTTACTCTGTAATTGCGAGTGGGTTGAAATTACACATCATCAGTTTTCTTCCACACGTTGGATTGGAAACATGTCAACAAATGTACGGGGAAGCTTTTGGTTGAGTGAGTTTAACTAATTAGTATGGAAATATAAGTACCAATTAGAATGGCAAAATGCGTGACAAACAACCGTGTTCCCAGAACAGTCCAGAGAAAATTGCGTCTTTAAATAAATACATAATTAATTAAATTTCACAATTTTTTATGAAAAACTAAATTAAAATTAGAAATAATCAGGCACATTTTGAGAAAAAGAACTAAAAATTGTTCCAAAAAGAAAGCAACTAATTGCTTATATAAAAATTTCAGTTTTCTGAATTTATTATATGTATTTTTATTATTGTGATTTATTATTGGAAATAGAAAAGCCGAATGAAAGTGTTAAGAAAATAAATAAATATTATAAAATTATTTACTGATTAATTTTTGACCAACACTTTTTTCCTAATATAGGCGGATGTGAAATCATGTATAGGGTGCGTGATTTTGTGCCACGTGCGCGACGCCAAACGTAATAACCGTGATAATAAGTCACCCTCTCTCCCCATGGCCAGTCGGTTCGAGTGTATTTGGCTGGGATATTAGAGAGCGGAAAGGGCTGAAGGGCAGCAGTGCGAGGCAATCACGAGAGGGTGGAGGAGATTGCCGTCCCATCGACACCCAGTCTTGCCACTTTTTTTCTATATATATTTTTTTCTTTTTGTGGCGCTCTCTCTCCAGTACATAAAGATAATATTGGCCGGCTGCCGTGCTCTTACAATACAAACACATACGCCAGCTCAAGGATGTCTCTCTTTCGTCCAAACGCATTGTTGCCGCCGCTCTCGGCTCAACAATGGCGTGTGCAGGTCAAGAGGCTTCATTTAATATCAAAAAGTGAGCGCCGACTTGAGAACAATGCGTGCCCAAGAGCATTGTGCAATTTTCAATCGCTCCACCACGCTGAATAAAATATAATAAATGCTGACTGAGAAAAGAGCTGCGGAGACCAATTACGCATAACAATGCAAATTTAATAGACCCGAAAAACTTTTTATTATTGTGTTATGACTTCACAAGATACATATTTTCAACAATGTAGAATTCCTCACCTCCTTACAATGAGTATTAAATTTGTACGATCAATTTTTATATTTTATTAAACTTCTCTTTTATTATATTAAATGCTAAAAATAATAAATATAATATGTAAATACATATTTATTATGAAATTAAAATTTTAGGTTAAATTTAAAAATAAAATATTATTCTAAACTATGTATTTTTGTTATGATCTTTTTAAAAAAGTTTCAAACAAATTAAAGAATTTGGTGTAAAATTTTATTATCATTGAATAGACAAAAATCGAGTGTTTGAAAACTGTAGATCTTTATAAAATGTTTTTATTAATTTTTTTCTGCCTTTCATTTCCAGAAATTTCAATTTTTGCATTAATTCTCAATTATGGTGAGTGCTTTTGTGCTTTGAAAATGATCAAATGTTCCGCCGTGCACGCGCACGTCCCCAGAACAAAGCCCCATTTGACGAGCAATAGAGCTGAGCGACCACGACTTTAATTGCTCCAATTAAGATTTCATCTCCGGCGCGCAGGGGTGCGTTTTCGCCATTGTTCTCTCTCGCGGCAGAAAATGGGAAAAATAGGCTTCCCCGCCGGTCTATAAAGAAGGGCTGCGCTTGATCTATATCAAAGAACCATTAGTAAATAATAACAAGGAACAAAGTGGGAAAAAATTGCTTTCTCCCTTTCGCACACACTGCGAGGCACACTGGCAGCCGAGAGAGAAAGGATATTTTTTGTTCTCTCTTTTAATTAACTGTTGACTCCGACAATCACAGAGAGTGTGTGCGAGAAGTTATGGTGTCGGTGCAGAGAAGTAATCTAGCGTTGTGCAATTTACACTG